GATATACAATTAAACATTAGACTATTTGCAGATGACACCTCTCTGTACTTAAAAATAGATGATCCAGAGGCATGCGCAGTTACCCTAAATAAAGACCCACAAAAAATCAATGCATGGTCGGAAACGTGGCTAGTGACATTTAACCCCCTAAAGACAGAAACCCTAACTCTCACGACTAAACACAATATTGTGAAACCACCCCTTTTAATGAAATCAATCAGAATAAAGGAAGTAATTGAACACAAACATCTTGGACTTACTTTTCAAACCAACTGTAAATGGAACAGCCACATTGATAGTATAATTAGTAAAGTATCTAAATTAGTAAACTGCCTACGCTCCTTGAAATATCGCTTAAACAGAAAATCGCTAAACACCTTATATTCTTCATTCATTCTGCCACACTTTGACTATGCCAATGTTATCTGGGACGGGTGCACTGACTACTTATCTAATAATCTCGAATCCCTTCAGCTTGATGCACCACGCACTATTTGTGGGGCGGTTAAAGGTACCAGCCATGCTTCCCTCTACGCGGAAACTGGGTTTATTCCATTCAAAGAACAACGAAATTGACACAAATTAAAATTACTATACAAAATTATAAACAACCTGACCCCTCCCTATCTTAAGAATCTCATAAATCTGGAACCAACAAATACAAATTCATTTCGAAACGAAGATAAAATTAAAGAAATTCGATGTCGTACTGAAATATTTTCTAAATCATTTATTCCATCCAGCATAAGAGAGTGGAATAAACTCAGCCTCCCGGCTAGAAACTCAAGAACTCTTAAAATATCTCCAACCATCTCTCCAAATCAGATATAAAAATTCCATCTTTTTACTACAACGGTCAGTGGAAACTCCAGATAATCCATTGTAAACTTAGACTCTGATGTTCTGACCTACAGGGCCACAAATACCTCAGATATGTTGCTAACAGCCCCGCATGCCTCTGTGGTCACATTTTTGAAGATCCTCATCACTACCTCTTGCAATGCTCCTTACATTCAAATGCACGAAAGGAAACCATAGACAAATTACAACACGATCATAAAAACATTAACTATCTCTTGTTCGGGTCCACAAAACACTGTACAGATGTAAACAACAATATTTTTAATCAAGTCCACAAGTTTATTGACATGTCAAACAGATTTTAATCTTGCTTATTAATTGTTTTAATTTTCAATATTAGTTTTAATTTATGTGATGATGTAACATATAATATATATTGTACATTGCCATCCGTCTCATGATATATGTATTTACATATATTTATGTATGTGTTTGCCATCAACTTTAACCAAGGTAAGTCTCGGTTAAACTAGAATTATTTTTCAGAATTTTTGAATGTATTAGTTTATTCCCCTAGGGGGGCCTTCTTTTATAAAATTGGGGTGTGTGTTGCAGAAGTGAGCTAGTTCCCCTTGTGCCAGAATGGACTAGCCTGTCTGTGACGTTTATTCATTTTCTGCACGTGCGTGGTAGTTTTTTTATATAAAGGCCTGCGTTTGGTCCATACTCCCCCTACTTGGATTTGGGGGTGAATCTTTTATATCCCTGAGGATTTCGACTGTGCTCAGTGTATAGTACCAATTTATAATAAGGATTACCTGTAGTGAGTAGATAGCTTTATCTATTTATACCCGGATGAAATATATGTAGGCTTATATGTGTGTTGCATGCCGGGCCCTTATTCACGAAAACTTAAACTAAGATACAATTGAAATTTTAAGAAATACTGCAATTCGATTGGCTGACCAGTAAAATCAATTTGCATATATCCAATGAAGTTGCAGTATTTCTTAAAATTTCGGTTGTAACTTAGTTTAAGTTTTCGTGAATAAGGGCTCAGCTTTATAGAGTAGTGGCACCCCTCAACCCATTAACCTTACCCAGCCATCTCAGGTTTAAGTGGGTAGATTGAAAGGGGGATCAGACCTGTAAAATAATAAATATACCCTGATTTTACAACAGAAGAAAGAAATTTGCAAAACCTATTTCAACAGTGTTATTTGCAGTACCGGTACTTTTTGTTTACGTCCGGTATCATCTGAAAGAAAGAAATTTTGCAGAGACTTGGCTTGCCGTAGACTACTCCAGAGTGCCTCGAGGTTTCGTTCACACGTAACCTCAAGGTTCCTGAAGCTGTACTTATTTGGAGAGAACTGCGACTGAATTGTTGGCGCATCAAATAGCCACGAGCTGAAAGGCGTCAGTCGATAAATTCTAAATGCATGTCCTACCTTATTGTGTGATCCATCTCTGAACAACAATGACACTTACTGACAAACAAACATTGTTCAGTGAAACAGGTTTTTCCAACATCACATACACCAGCATTTCTTTCAGTCGCCATGTTGGGATGGTTTGACCTTTTTTTGACGTCATATCCTCCGCATTAAAATTTGAGGATCCCTGTTTTACGCGAAACGAAATGCATTTTTGTACAATATTTTTATGGATTGCGTATATGTACTGTTTTTGTAGAGGTTTTATATCGGGATAGAAGACGATGGTGTCACGTATGACAATATCTTTATTAGATAATGATAGGTTACAATGTGGTTTGTCGTGGATGTACTGAATAATACATATATATTCACGCTGGTATTGCTGAATGTTTCAAGGTCACAAGTATTTGTACATTAATAAATATAGTATATATGTTATTGTTGTTTATTACAGTTTATGACAACTGGTGAACATGTTTTCAGATTGTGGTAATAAAGTTTGATTATAAACATTTGATTTTATTGTTATTTGTAAGATGTATGATAGTTATTATTTGCCAAGGTTGAGTAATCCACATGTTTGGTTGCAGATATGATTGCATTGAATGCATGTGAACTGCCTGTTTTGTTGTCGTGATTTGATTGGTTGTGAGTGAAACTGGTAGTATACGTGGTGGGAGATATGAATTTATATTGTCACTCTAATAATGGATTTTGGGAGAACCACACATATCATTCGTAAATATATTTCAACTAAATGGGTGTTAGACTGTGTGTCTCGTTGGTTTTGACTGTGTGTCGTTATAATGGTAATCTGTGTGATTATGAGCAATAATTAGTACATTTACTTGTGACCTGATTGTGATTCTGATTCTGATTCTGATAATGTTAATGTGCTACGGATAGTGTTACCTATATTGTTAGTCTGGTCGTTATTGTTCCAGTTAGTTATTTTATGGTAATTAAAAGATATACACGAATGAATAACTCATCAACCTTATCATCTTAATCATCTTTTTAAATGTGCCGTGGAGAGGAGTCAAATAGTTGGTGACTGCTGTATGCGCGTGTACCTCCAAATCATCGTCATCTCATCAACATATAAACGTGATTAGTGGTCTTTTGAATCGGTGGAGACGGTGATATTATTAGAGAATAATTACATAAATATATATATATATACATATTATAATTGTATTGACTTATATTGTAGTTATATAAAGATATTTAAATTATACTGTGTTTTGTTAATGTGAACTATAAGTACATGACTGTCAATCCGCCCCAAAAAGAACCAAAGGTCCAATTTTGTGACAGATGGTTGTTGAAGAATAATTAGGTCGCTCTTCACACGTAGTTGAAAATACACAACGTCCATTGAGAACTATTTGTTGCATGATTAATTAGTATTAGTAGGCCTAGATCATGACCAGTACTTGAAATGAGGATTCTTCTACAATGCCGTAGCAAAAATTAGCTGACAAGGCACGGCTGCCTTTCTTCATATTTAACAAATATACTGTTGTCATTTTCTGTCACTGAACGTGCAATTTTTATATTTGCCCGTGCAATGATTTTCTGTGTCAATTAATCTGGTTCTAATTGCATTTGGTTGTATGGTCATAAGTATAAAATTTACAGATTCCTCTTGGAGTAATAAAGTCATCAAAATTTGTTTTCCTTTCGGTCCTTTAGTTATTCGTGTTCCCAATGGTTGCCATCATGTCAATCATAACTAAAATTGATTCATCAAATTTCCCACGGCTCTGCCGTAACCTTCTATAATAAGGGCACTATTTTAGAAAGTGAGCATTCTTATGAAAACAGCGGCTGCCAGGCAGGAGGATACGCCCACATTTTCGAGAGATGGATAGAGAACAAGCTAAAAAGAAAGTGATTTTTCCTACAATCAAGGGCCATAATTCAGGAAATTAAAATTCGATATGCGCAAATATCGAAAGGAACTGAGATCTTTGGGTTATAAACTTACATGTCAAGTTTCAACAAAATTGGATAAAAATTGTGACCTCTATAGGGTCCACAACCTTGATATACCATATTTTTACGCTATTTGAGAAAGACGGGCGGCCATTTTGTCTGTCAGTTTTGGGGCGATTTTCACGAAATATGAACTCAGCCATCTAGGGTGTAACAGTGATATAATAATACGTTTTTTAAAATCGGATAAACATTATGACCTCTATAGGGTCCACAAGCTAAAAACTCACAAGCTTTGAACTCAACACTCCTTAGGGTGTAACAGTGATATACTTAAACGTTTTTTTTTAAATCATATAAAAATTATGACCTCTATAGAGTCCACAAGCTAAAAACATGATTTTTCGTACAATCAGGGGCCATAATTCAGTAAGTTACGATCCGATATGCGCAAACATCAAAAGGAACAAAGATCTTTTGGAGATAAATCTATATTTTAAGTTTCGTCAAAATCGGATAAGAATTGTAACCTGTAGAGTGTCCACAAACAATTGTGGACGGACAGACGGATGTCCGGACAGGGTCGACGGCAATATACGTCCACATGAAAATGTGGGCGTATAAAAATTTGTCCAAAGGGTTGTCAAAACGATGACAAAAAGCAAGAGAAAAAAAATTAAACAATTTTATGCATTACCTGTGACAAAATGGTCTGGGTTCTAACAATTTGGTTAAGTAATCACTATTATAAAATGAAAATAAATGTTAGATGTGTTAAACAAACTGCTTTAACCGTATTTCAATAGTATGTATATATCTTACCTAGTCCTAAAACTCTACCATACGATACAAGATTGGATGCTAATCTAGGATCATCATATTTTTCATTTTTCATCAATAATCGGATTATTTCACCAAATATATAAGCATCATCAAACGATGGTTCATGAGGTACTGGAAATTTACAAAATACATTGACAGCTTCTAGTGGGTCAGATTTAGTTAACATTTCAGCATTTTCTATATATGCATCATGTACCTATAAAATAAATTGAAATAAATGCATTTAAATGGTATGATCGCTTTCTTCAAGAAATAAATGTAATTAAATCATTCCAAATACTGGAAGTTATACAGCTACTTCTTACGTAAGTGTCTATATAACAATTTTGTTTTGAGTGTCAAGCAGTCAGATAAACAAAATCAAAATTGAATAAAAATGAAATAAACATGATTGGAGCATATCTTTTTTTATATGGAGTCCTACTTCCAAGTAAATTCTTACACAATTGCTTGAAAAATCTAACACATTAACCAAGGCCCCTATATACATGTTATTATTGGAAATTGTTCTAGTCCAGCTACTTCTCGCACATGCACTTGCACTAATGTGTGCATTTCAATTTGTCGTCACGCATTTACTGATGCATGCAACCCTAGGTATAGAGACCAAAATCACCATTCTAGGTTCAATAGTACAAAAGTTATGAGGCTTAATGCGAAAAAAAATCTGAATGCTTGACACTTGAACCAGAATTGTTCCATTGACCCTTACCTTCAAATTGGTACTGAAAACAAAACTTTTGCATCAATATGAAATGAAAAAATAAGAATGCCCATGCACGGATCCCCACTAGTTGTTTTACATTGCACATAAGAGCTATTCTTATTGCATAAACCTTGGATCTAAATTAAAATGAATCTTATTCTTACCTCAGGTGACATAGAAATCACCTGGTCATAATATCTTTTAGCAGATTCTGTATCTCCAGACAGTTTTAATGCTCTAGCTAGTCCAAGTCTTGGAAGATAAGATTTTTTATTTTTTGGTGCTGAACTATCGATTGATGCTGGCTGTGAAGGAATATTGTCAGTTTTAATCTCTTTGTTAGGTTTGGTATCTGGAACTATATAATTAAACCAGCGGCTACCAGGCAGGAAACACCCACATTTTGCAAGAGAACAAGCTAAACAAAAAGCAATTTTTTGTACAATCAGGGGCCATAAAGTTACGATCCAATATGTGCGAATATCAACAGGAACCAAGATCTTTGGGTTATAAAGATATAGTTCAAGTTTCATCAAAATCGGATAAAAATTGTGACCTCTATAGGGTCCACAACCTTGATATACCATATTTTTACGCTATTTGCGTACAAGAGGCAGAGATTTGTCTGGCAGATTTTGTCTGGCTTTCATGAAATTTGAACTCGGCCATCATTAGGGTGTAACGGTGAAATATTCAAAAGTTTTTTTTTCAATCAGATAAAAATTGTGACCTCTAGAGGGACCACAAGCTAAACACGTGATTTGTCGTAAATAAAGGGCCATAATTCAGAAAGTTACGATCTGATATGCACGAACATAGCCGTACTGGGAAATTTTGACTGGGGGGGGGGGGGGCGGTGGTGGTTGGTGCCCAAAAAATGTAGTTAGGTTCTTAGTATGTTACATAATAGTAATAAATTCGCTGTTAAATTGGACACATTCAAGAACACAATATTTTTTTTTATACAAATTTTACAAAGTACAATTGTGTGCCCAAATTTTCCCAGCATTTTGATGCCCAAAATGGGGGGACGGCCACCCCCCCAGCTCGTACGCCTATGTGCACGAATATCAAAAGGAACCAAGATCTTTGGGTTATAAACATGTATTTCAAGTTTCATCAAAATCGGATCAAAATTGTAGCCTCTATATAGAGGGTCCACATCCTTGATATACCATAATCCATGAAGTTATGGTCCGATATATGCCAATATCGAAAGGAACCAAGATCTTTGGGAGATAGACCTATATTTTAAGTTTCGTCAAAATTGAGTAAAAATTGTGACCTGTAGAGTGTCCACAAAGAAATTGTGGACGGACGGACAGGGGCGACAACAATATACGTCCACATGAAAATGTGGGCGTATAAAAAGACAGTTATTCTCAGTGGTTGTATTACCATATTCATGATGACATCTAAAATTAAATCGATGAAACATAATATACAGAGGTTTAGTTACCAACATAAATCTTGTGTTAGATATAAACAAGCGGTTGCCATGCACGATACGCCCACATTTTGCAAGAGATGGACAGAGAACAAGCTCAAAAAAAGAAATGATTTTTTCGTACAATCAAAAGCCGTAATTCAGGAAGTTATGATCCAATATGTGCGAATATCGAAAGGAACCAAGATCTTTGGGTTATAAATATGTATTTCAAGTTTCATCAAAATCGGATCAAAATTGTGACCTCTATAGGGTCCACAACCTTGATATACCATATTTTTACGCTATTTGAGAACGAACGGCAGTAATTTTGTCTGTCAAATTTGGGCCGATTTTCACGAAATTCGAACTCAGTCGTCCTTAGGGTGTAATTTTGGGCCAATTTTCACGAAATTCAAACTCCGTCGTCCTTAGGGTGTAACGGTGACATAATAATACGTTTTTTTAAATCTGATAAAAATTATGACCTATATAGGGTCCACAAGCTAAAAACGCGATTTTTCGTACAATTAGGGACCATAATTCAGGAAGTTAAGGTCCGATATGCGCGAATATCGAAAGGAACCGAGATCTTTGGGTTATAAAATTACATTTCAAGTTTCAACAAAATCGGATAAAAATTGTGACCTCTATAGGGTCCACAACCTTGATATACCATATTTTTACGCTATTTGAGAACGAACGGCGGGCATTTTGTCTGTCAATTTTGGGCCGATTTTCACGAAATTCGAACTCAACCTTCCTTAGGGTGTAACGGTGATATAATAATACGGTTTTTTAAATCGGATAAAAATTATGACCTCTATAGGGTCCACAAGCTAAAAACGCGATTTTTCGTACAATCAGGGGCCATAATTCAGGAAGTTACGGGCCGATATGCGCGAATATCAATAGGATCCAAGGTCTTTGGGTTATAAACTTACATTTCAAGTTTCAACAAAATCGCATAAAAATTGTGACCTCTTTAGGGTCCACAACCTTGATATACCATATTGTTACGCTATTTGAGAACGAACGGCGGCCATTTTGTCTGTCAATTTTCGGCCAATTTTCACGAAATTCGAACTCAGTCGTCCTTAGGGTGTAACGGTGATATAACAATACGTTTTTTTAAATCGGATAAAAATTATGATCTCTATCGGGTCCACAAGCTAAAAACGCAATTTTTCATACAATCAGGGACCATAATTGAGGAAGTTACAGTCCGATATGCGGAATATCGAAAGGAACCAAGATCTTTGGGTTATAAACTTACATTTCAAGTTTCAACAAAATCGGATAAAAATTGTGACCTCTATAAGGGTCCACAACCTTGATATACCATATTTTTACGCTATTTGAGAACGAACGGCGGGCATTTTGTCTGTCAATTTTGGGCCGATTTTCAAGAAATTCGAACTCAGTCATCCTTAGGGTGTAACAGTGATATAATAATACAGGTTTTTAAATCGGATAAAAATTATAACTTCTACAGGGTACACAAGCTAAAAACGCGATTTTTCGTACAATCAGGGGCCATAATTCAGGAAGTTACAGTCCGATATGCGCGAATATCGAAAGGAACCGAGATCTTTGGGTTATAAACTTATATTTCAAGTTTCAACAAAATCGGATAAAAATTGTGACCTCTATAGGATCCACAACCTTGATATACCATATTTTTACGCTATTTGAGAACGAACGGCAGCCATTTTGTCTGTCAATTTTGGGCCGATTTCCACGAAATTCGAACTCAGTCGTCCTTAGGGTGTATCGGTGATATAATAATACAGGTTTTTAAATCGGATAAAAATAATGACTTCTACAGGGTACACAAGCTAAAAATGCGATTTTTCGTACAATCAGGGGGCCATAATTCAGGAAGTTACAGGCCGATATGCGCGAATATCGAAAGGAACCGAGATCTTTGGGTTATAAACTTATATTTCAAGTTTCAACAAAATCGGATAAAAATTGTGACCTCTATAGGATCCGCAACCTTGATATACCATATTTTTACGCTATTTGAGAACGAACGGCAGCCATTTTGTCTGTCAATTTTGGGCCGATTTCCACGAAATTCGAACTCAGTCGTCCTTAGGGTGTAACGGTGATATAATAATACGTTTTTTTAAATCGGATAAAAATTATGACTTCTATAGGGTCCACAAGCTAAAAACGCGATTTTTCGTACAAACAGGGGCCATAATTCAGGAAGTTAAAGTCTGATATGCGGGAATATAGAAAGGAACTGAGATCTTTGGGTTATAAACTTACATTTCAAGTTTCAACAAAATCGGATAAAAATTGTGACCTCTATAGGGTCCACAAGCTAAAAACGTGATTTTTTGTACAAACAGGGGCCATAATCCATGAAGTTTCGATCCGATACATGCCAATATCGAAAACAGCCGAGATTTTTTGGGGATAAAGCTATATTTCAAGTTTCGTCAAAATCGGACAAGAATTGTGACCTGTAGAGAGTCCACAAACAAATTGTGTCCGGACGGACAGGGGCGACGACAATATACGTCCACATGAAAATGTGGGCGTATAAAAACTAACCAGATAAACTATTAATTTGTCCCATATGATCAAACTTTCCATCTTTAGTGGATGTTATCCCAGAAAAGAAGCAATTATGTAAAACTGAGGGATGTGCTTTTTTTTTAAAACCGCATGGCTAGCTAAGTTAAAAAGCATTTCACTTATCTCTGGCTGATGGTAGAAAAACTGTTAAATAGATGGTTCGACTAATGCCCCACATCGACTGTACAATGTGATACATTTGTAGGCATGTGCGCATATTTTTTAATGACTTTACAGTTGACAGCTGAGCAAGCTGCAAGCTTTATTCTTTTTTTATTTTTCATCAAGACAAAGAAAATGACATCACATGCAACCATTTGTTGATGGAGGTGGTACACAAGAAACAATGTATTTTATTTCTGTACCCTTATATGTATTTGTTTGGCTGTATATGTGGTTTATGTTTCTAATTTGCGGGTAGTCCATGATAAATATGAAATGTTAGCCACTGTTTATTGTCTATATGTATCAGTGTGCACCTAGCTTTACCTTTTGCAGTGTTTTTTGTTACTTCACATATATGACCTTTTGAGCCTGTGTTTACATTGGCTTTTGTTATTGATGACGTAGATTTGACAACTGGAATGGACTGAAATACAACAAATTCATCTATAAAAGTTTCCAATCTAGTCTGGAAACATCTAGTCTGGTGAATACATTAAAAGTTATTATATGAGACTGTGAGAGGATATCTGAAAATTCATAAAAACAATTTACTGTCACTAGATAAGATAAATGAGAAAAATAGAAAAAGTTAGTACATTACCATGTTTTTATTAAGTAGAGAATGATTAAAAACTAGGTAATGTACAGACTTTTTCTATTTTTCTTGTTTTCTCTTATCTATAGTGACAGTCAATTCTTTTTATGAATTGTCAGATATTCTCTCACAATCTCATATAACAACTTTTCGTTTTCGAAGAAATTATCGGTGAGCTAAAAATTCTTAATGTATCTGTTATTGCTTGTTACTTCAGTCAGCTATGTAAAAGGATAACTTGTGTTTTCCATTTTTTTGCATCATTTCCGGTTTCTTCAAATCTTCGTTACACATCTACCATAGCAATGATCTCTGTGTTAAACAGCAGCTGCCAGGCAGGATATGCCCACATTTTGCAAGAGATGGATAGAGAACAAGCTAAAAACAAACAGGATTTTTGTGTACAATCAGGGGCAATAATCCAGAACGTTATGGTCTGAAATGCGCAAATATCAAAAGGGACTGAGATCTTTTGGATATAAAGATATGATTTAAGTTTCATCAGAATCGGACAAAAATTGTAAACTCTAGAGGGTCGACAACCTTCGTATTGCATACTTTTACACAATTTGCGTACAAAGAGCGGCCATTTTGTTGGGCAGTTTCATTTCAATTTTCCTGAAATTCGAATTCAACCTTCATTATGGTGGAATGGTGAAATATTTAAACGGTTTTTAAAATCGGAAAAAAATTGTGACCTCTAGAGAATCCGCAAGCTAAAAATGCCATTTATTGAACAAGCAGGGGCAATAATCCAGGAAGTTAAGTTCGGGTATCCGCAATTGTCAAAAGGTTCCATGATCTTAGTTTGTAATGGTGATATATTCACACATTTTTTTAAATCAGATAAAAATTGTGACCTCTACAAGGACCACAAGGTAAAAACATGATTTTTCGTACAATCAAGGGCCATAAATCAGGAAGTTACTATCAGATATGCCGAATATCGAAAGGAACCAAGATGTTTGGGTTATTAACTTACATTTCAAGTTTCACCAAACTCAAAAGAAAATTGTGACCTCAAGAAGGTCCACAACATTAATATACCATATTTTTTTGACCTCTAGAGGGTCCACAACATTGATATACCATATTTTTACGCTATTTGAGTATGAGAGGCGGCCATTTTGTCTGTCAGTTTTGGTCCGATATTTACGAAATTCAAACTCAACTATCCTTAGGGTGTAATGGTGATATATTCGAACGTTTTTTTAAATCGGATAAAAATTATGACCTCTATCTATAGGGTCGACGAGCTAAAAACGTGATTTTCGTATAAACTTACATTTCAAGTTTCAACAAAATTATATAAAAATTGTGACCTCTATAGGGTCCACAACCTTGATATACCATATTTTACGCTATTTGAGAACGAGGGGCAGCCATTTTGTCTGTCAGTTTTGGGCCGAAATTCGAACTCAGCCGTCCTTAGGGTGTAACGGTGATATAATAATACACTTTTTTAAATCGGATAAAAATTATGACCTCTATAGGGTTCACAAGCTAAAAACGTGATTTTCGTACAATCAGGGACCATAATACAGGAAGTTATGGTCCGATATACGCGAATATCGAAAGGAATCGGATAGAAATAGTGCACAAGCTAAAAATGTGATTTTTTGTACAATCAAGGGCCAAAATCCACGAAGTTACAGTCCGATACATGCCAATATCGAAAGGAACCGAGATCTTGGGGTGATAAACCTATATTTCTAGTTTCATTGGAATCGGATAAAAAATTGTGACCTGTAAAGTGTTCACTAACAATTGTGGACGGACGGACTGACGGGGGCGACGACAATATACGTCTACATAAAAATGTGGGCGTATAAAAATATATTTGGAATGTGCTTTACCATTTCTATAACATATGTGATAATGGTTGACACCAACATTGTCCTTTAAGAAAAGTCTGAATATAAATATTGTTTAAAAAACTCAAATAATTAGCCATCAAAATTTAACTTATTTGAACCTGGAAAGTTAATAAGTAACACTATAAAAAATCCCATGGCGTTAAACATCCTACTGTTCTGCTCTGACTGGGCTAATGAAGATAGGCAGATGACATGTACAGTGTTCTATGAGGGAAATTTTGCCTGGACAGCGGCATCACATCCTACAAAATAAAAAACTCCTTCTGGCATCATATCAGATTGTTCGGAAGGAAAAATTTCTTTTATATGACCTTAATCATCTCATCGTTTTGTCTTTTAAAACTTGAGTGAAGATTTTGTATATACCTTATTAGCAGCCCCTCCTCTTGCTCCTCTAGATGTTGTAGTACCCCCTCTAGCTGCCCCTCCTCTGACTGCTGTACCTACAAATATTACATACACATACAACTTTTTAAACTTTAAACATCTTGAATTTTACACAAGTAAAAATTGTCTTGTTCATTTCATTCAACGACTCCAAGAGATACAAAACATTCTATCATATACACTACATTAAATAATATTACAGTATATGCATTATAACAATCTTTAGATACCTCCTCTAGTAGCAGGTGTAGTTGCTGTGCCACCTCTACCTCGAGTATTAACTCCACCACCTCTACTAACACCCGGTTTACCCCCAACAGATTTAACTTCTGCTTTCTTAGCTTCTTCTGCTGTCTTTCTTTCTTCTTCTTTAACTTTGATCTGCCACCATTCTTGATCTATGTATATATATATATATATATATGTGTGTATATGTTAATTTGGTTTAGTACAACCAAAATCAAATTACAAATATCATGTTCTGTGTTCACATCCTGCAAATACTACTGATAAAAGGGTTAACTTACTTTTAAGTAAATCTGGAACTACACCAGACACTGGCTGACCTTCAAGCATAATACTGGTCTTAAAAGAAGTCTTGGCGTCTGTTAATAATTGTTCAGATGCTTGTCCAGTTGAACTATTCTCATAGCGTGCCATCTGAGCAGTCCCTAATAAATACAGAGCATGACTATCAGAGGGATGGATGGTTACCAGTTTCTGACAAGTCTGAAAATATATTTGTGTATTGGAAATAAAATTAAAGGAGAAATTGAAGATATATTTCAGTGAATGAAACTGGTTTATTCTAGTCATACACTTTCAAATAAGTACCAAAGTTCTGATATCTAGTTGAGCTACTGTTCGCCCCTTCAGAACAGGAATGAAAAGTAGAAGTTGCGACAAAATAGGAGGTGACAGCATGCTATACAAGCCAAACTCGACTTGAAATTAGGAAATTAAGAAAAAAACACACTGCTATAAAAGCGCCCCTAAATTTGTTGTGACTTCTACTTTTCGACTTGCAGTTTGGCTTGTGAAGCATCTTGTCGACTGTTAGCGACCTATCATTTTGGCTTGCGGTCGTGCTGCTGACTTTTTAAGTCTCTACATTCCAGGTCATATTTGAACATGTGCAATCAGGGCTCACACTGGCTTTCATTTTTGTTCAGCCAAAATGGATATTTTTTTTTCTGTCAACTGTAATATTTTATCTGCTAAAATGTCTGATAAAAAAAACCCACTATAATTATAAAACAATTACCCTGTACAGGTATATTATACAATATACAACAACTTACAAAATCCATCTTAACATGGGGGTTGGGTGGTCTAATGGTTTAACATGTGCACATGAAATCACAAGGTCCGTCATTGAGTCAAGTGGCGTGGTTTCGAATCCATGTTTGACAAGGAGTAGGGTCACCTGTCCATCCTCGTGGGTATTCTCAGAGTCCTTCGGTTTCCTTCCACTGCTAAAAGGCCCCTACACACAAGCGAATTATTGAAATAAAATTGAACAATATGTTAGTCCCGAAATTACCTACTTTGTGTCGAGTGAACGTTAAATACCATCTCTCTCTTTTACAATCACACTCGTCGTTCACTTTTGAGCTTTTGGCGGCGCTTATGAAACAAATGGCGGACCATTTTGTCAATCGAGGATCATTTCTATTCGACTTGTTCTTACTTTTCCGACCCATGGGGATAATATAATTTGAAAATGATATCCAATTAGCGAAACTGGTATATTTTACATGCTGTATAAAGCCACAGTAAACGAAATTCAACAATCATTCTGCGTATTCAAATGTGACCTGGAATGTAGAGACTACATCAACTTCCGAGGCTAAACTCGAAAGTCGACAGCAAGTTAAAAAATCAAAGGTCGCTAATATCGCCATCAACATTAGACTTTATCACACAAACCAATTTGTTAATGTGAATTGCTCTTATTGAAATGTGACCTGGAATGTAGAGACTACAACAACTTCCGACGCAAAACTTGAAAAGTCGCGATGTGTTAATTTCCTAATTTCTACTTTTCAAGTTGCATTTTCGCTTGGTATGCATCTTGTCGCCTTCTTACTGACATGAATAAAAACAAAAATATGATTAAGTCGAAAGTCAATAACACGCTATACAAGTCAAAATGCAAGTCAAAAAGTAGAAGTCACGACAACACAAGGGGCAATATTATCGTGGTGTGTTTATTTCTTAATTTCCTATTGGCTTGTACAGCATGCTGTTGCCTCAAATTTTGTTGTAACTTCTACTTTTCTACTTTCGTGTTCTAACAGAGCGAAAAGTAGAAATTACGAGTGGTAGTTATGTTATAGGCTTCCATAGTGAATAAAACTGGTTTATTCTAGTCATACATTTTCAAATAAGTACCAAAGTTCTCATGTCTGGTTAAGTTGGGTATGAGCTTGTAAACTAATAATCAGCTCGTGCATGTCTATAATTCAAACGTATCAACAGTAACAAATTCCTGCTGTATATTTGGGCTTTTTTTAAAGTAAAGTTTGGCATTGTCTACAAACAGAATAGTCATGTTGAAAAAATGGAGCCGAGGGCTCTACAAGAGTTATGTAATTTTGATAAACCCTTTTAGCATTATTTACAGCTCAAACTTTTAGACAAAGTTTAATTAGGCTATTTCGTCACATTTTGGCTTTTAATTTGGTTATTAAATAAAAAAAAAACTTTCAGGGACAACATAAATGGAATTCATGTTATACATGTATTTTACCAAAATCCTATTCACAAAGGCATTGGGTGAATAATATGTATATATACTGATTGGAGATAACTTACCTTTTCTTGCAATTCCTGAAGTTGACCATTCTGGGGTATAGTACAGTTATATATCAATGCTGATAATCTCTCACATCTTTGAGCAATTAACGTTTCAACTGGGCTAGAACTATTTGCATATATTTCAAGAAGATTAGCATGTGAATCTAGTAGAACCCATTCAACTTGTTTATATAAATCACCACGAGACAGAGTAGGTAAAACTTGTGATGCCAATAAACTTGCTCTGAAAGAAAGATAAAAGCAGGGCTCTATAAAAGTTAAGTGTGCCTGCGCACACACTTGAAAATGTGCATGCAGGGTCATACTGAAACACAGGGATGTAGCCCGGATTTGGTGAGTGGTGTAAAAATATATTTGGCGAGCGGAGCGAGGCAAAAAAAATTTTGGGAGGGGGGGGGTGGTCTTTTATGAAAATTAAACCCTTCTTGGTGTATTTTCAGAGCATCTGCTGCCTTTTGTATTTGGTTCAGTGCAAATCAAATTTCCATTTATTTATTTTATGATCAGTAGTGGAATACCACGTTTTATCAGTGAAATAAAAGTGTTATTTCACTGGCTAAAGTAGTCCATGTTGTTTTTACCTAAAATGATTGTAAAATCATAAAATAAATAGAACATTTGTCGTTTTGTCGTGAATAACATATTTTATTTCATCTCTAAGCAAGAAAACGTTTATATTTTCACGAATGCTATGCATTCGTGAAAATATAAGTTTTCTTGCTTCGATGAAATAAAATATGTTATTCACTCTAAAACGGCAAATATCCTCTATATATTCAACTTTTACCAAGTTCACTTAATTTTCATCAATGATACAGGGATCTAAAAACTTTTTGACACCACCAGACCGAGCATAAAATTGTCCCGCCCCATTCTGTTTCTCTGGATAGATAAGTTGAGGACCTTTCGGTATTTGTTGTTTTGTTGTTTTTTTTTTCAAATATTACTTTATTACTTTGAGATTAAAAATTAAAACGATTCTTAAAACGGTGTTTGTGTTTTATTTGAGTACAACGAATTATGACAACAAAAAAGGTCAGTACGATTTCAAAATCAAAGCGGCACTTTAATCAAATCATTCTAGAAAACGACTTACTAAATGGATCAAAGCAATTTTTTGTGAACAGTATGTTGACACATTAGTGATTAATTTATCACAATCCCAAGACATTACAAGAAGGTTTAGAGTCTGTACACAGTCTATACATCAGTATCTTGTGTTTCCACCGCACGTGTCAATAACAGCAGCGCAACGTCTGTACATGGAGTGGACCAGACGATTGATGAACGCCATTGGCACCTGGAACCACACTCTCAGAAAAGCCTGACTCAATCCATCGGCTGTGTTTGGTCTCGGTACGACATTATCAAGTCTCCTCTGAATTACATTCCAAAGATGTTCAATTGGGTTTAAAATGCATACCGTTGACACCATTCTGCTGTAGAAAGTCCCAAGTAACTCTGACGATGTGGGCACGGGCGTTGTCATGCTGGAAACATTGTTTCGATGATGTGCGAAATGTGGTATGACGTGGGGTTTGAGAGCTTGATCGAATAGTGCACTGCTGTGATGCCACCTCCTCTCCCTGGACCAAGATTTTGGAACACCACAGGACCCACTCTCTGGTTTAGGCCGATTCCACCCCGAACCATTATACTTGGACCTCCCCACGATTTTCGTTCCATGACACATTGGTCAGAATAACGCTGGCCACGCTGACGCCATATTTTGGTCCTGCCATTATGCAGTTGAGACGCACTAGGGACTCTCATCTGTGAACAGAACAGTTCTCCATTGCCTGTGTCACCAGTTCTGGTGTTGTTGGGCAAACTATAGACGTTCACTTCGATGGCGAGGTGTGAGGATCGGTCCACGGTAAGGTCAAATACAATGGATGTTCTCTCTGGTGAGACGTCTGCGCACTGTATCGGTACCTTGAGGGTCTTCCGTGTGTTCCCACTAAATGACGTGCTGTCTCAGATGCCTGTGTGAAGGGATTCTGCACGTGCTGTCGCACAACATGGCGGTCTTGTTGCCTTGTGGTAACCCTTGGTCTACCAGTTCAAGGGCAATCATCCATAATTCAGGAAGATACAATCCGATACACATGATCATCGAAAGGAACCAAGATCTTTGGGTTATAAACATGTATTTCACCTTTCATCAATATAGTAAAAAATTGTGACCTCTAGAGGGTCCATAACCTTTATTTACCAGATGTTTACACTATTTGCGAACACAACCAAAATTACGGTGTAATAGTGATATATTTGAACTTTTTTTAAATCGGATAATAATTGTGACCTCTGGAGGGACCACAAGCTAAAAATGTGATTCTTTATACATTCAAGGGCAATAATTCAGGAAGATACACACAGATACACGTGAATATCGAAAGGAACCAAGATCTTTGGGTTATAAACATGTATTTCAACTTTCATCAAAATCGGATCAAAATTGTGACCTCTAGAGGGTCCACAACCTTGATTTACCAGATGTTTACACTATTTGCATACAAGGGGCGGCCATTTTGTTCAGCAATTTTGGCCCGATTTTCATGAAATTCTAAATCAACAAACATTACGTTGTAACGGTGATATATTCGAACGTTTCTTTAAATCAAATAATAATTGTGACCTCTAGAGGGACCACAAGCTAAAAACGCGATTTTCTGTACAACCAGAGGCCATAATTCAGGAAGTTACGATTCGATATACGCGAATATTGAAAGGAACCAAGCTTTTTGGGTTATAAACATGCATTTCAAGTTTCATCAAAATCAGAAGAAAATTGTGACCTCTAGAGGGTCCACAACATTGATATACCATATTTTTACGCTATTTGAGTACGAGGGGTGGCCATTTTGTCTGTCAGTTTTGGTCCAGTTTTTACGAAATTCGAACTCAACCACCCTTAGGGTGTAATGGTGATATACTAAAATGTTTTTTTAAATCGGATAAAAATTATGACCTCTATAGGGTCCACAACCTTGATATACCATATTTTTACGCTATTTGAGAACGAAGGGTGGCAATTTTGTCTGTCAGTTTTGGGCCGATTTTCACTAAATTCGAACTCCGCCGTCCTTAGGGTGTAACGGTGATATAATACGTTTTTTGTAAATCGGATAAAAATTATGACCTCTTTAGGGTCCACAAGCTAAAAACACGATTTTTCGTACAATCAGGGGCCATAATTCAGGAAGTTACGGTCCGATATGCACGAATATCGTCAGGAATAAAATCTTTGGGTTATAAACTTACATTTTAAGTTTCAACAAAATTGGATAAAAATTGTGACCTCTATAGGGTCCACACCCTTGATATACCATATTTTTACGCTATTTGAGAATGAACGGCGGCCATTTTGTGATTTTTCGTACAAACAGGGGCCATAATCCATGAAGTTTCGATCCGATACATGCCAATGTCGAAAGCAACCCAGATCTTTTGGAGATATACCATATATTTTAAGTTTCGTCAAAATCGGATAAGAATTGTGACCTGTAGAGTGTCCCCAAACAAATTGTGGACGGACAGACGTCTAGACGGACAGGGGCGACGACAATATATGTCCACATGAAAATCTGGGGGTATAAAAACGAAACGAAATATAGATCTGTATTTTAATCAGATTGCAGCAGTGTTCAAAGTAAATATAAATATAACTTTTAAAAAGAAATATCGCCCCAAATGACCGTCACTTCATCACTATCGGCATTTATGCCTTTGGATATATGGCGGGAATTGTCGTCTTCTTTGTTTCATTGCGTCGAAAATAAAAATATATAGTTGAAATCTTCGACAATGTAATATTCCTCTATGTAGCTTGTATCAAATCCTAAAAGTTTTGATTCAATTTGGCTTTCCAAAGTCTAGAATTATTATCCGTAAGTTTTGTTGTATCGTCTGTCGGGAAGCGTGTTCAAGATGGCAGCCAACCACTTGATCTCGGCCGGAGTATACGCATTCTTCGGATCATAACGTTAAGAAAAAAAATAGAAATAATTGATTCCTTCAACATTATCATATTCCGCGATATGTCTGGCAGTAAATCATAAAAAATCTGATTCCATTTCACTCTCCATATCATAAAATTATCAGTCGTAAGTGACAACGTGGAAATAATGGAATAATGCCAAAGATCCTTTGTTGAAACGTATGTTTTTTATTCGATAATTAGCGAATATAACATTCCTTTTCATTGGGTGTTTTATTTTTATTACTCAATCAACATTAATTTAAGAAATAAAAACAATAGAAATCAGTTGATTGATCTGGCCCTTTTGTTCGCTAATGCCGTTGCCAACTATGATGGGTCGGCCAGTTGATTCGCTACCGTAAAATGACAGGTGCGAATTGTTCGCCCTCGTCAAAAATGGGTTAAACAAGCCAAGCATAAATAGATGACACATATTAGTTAATCGCACATTTATTTTTTTTCAATAGTATCAAGAAATAAAACCGATTATCAACTATACACCAAGTTTCATCACTCTCTATCAGATATAATCAAGGTTATTTGGTCCAAAGCATCTACCAATAAAATTGCTTAGCTCTGTTTAGCTTTAGCTCAAAATATTAATCATTGATCTCAGTCAAGACATTCACCTAATGAACATCTACATCAAGTTTAACCCTTTCAATGCTAGACGTAAATCCACTGCCTGTGCTAGACCCTTTTTTTGAGGAAAAAAGGGAGGTTGGAACTGAATGCCAAGCAGTACTTATGGAAGCTTTTATGAAAAATCTTTTTGTCTGTTGGGATGGGCATGAGGTTGGGCTAAGAGGAAAAAATAGAATTTTGGAAATTTGCATAATAATGTAGTCACGTGACGTCATGGCGGCCATTTTGGATTTCTTATTTCTCACTAAAGCTAACACGAAAACGAATTTTTCTCCATGAAATACTTAAAAGATATTGTTTTTTTCACTGGATTTTGATAAAGATATATAAAATGAACAAATATATCAATAGCAGCCATGAGCAATGCCGCCACGAACACGCGCATCACGTCTCCTGCTGCCATGACCACGTGCGGATTGCAATACCTTGTTTTTACTTTCACTTTCATCCCCAAGTCCTATATCATTATCAATATAGTCAGTCAATAGATCTACACGTTCGGGACTCAGGAATTGCCTACGTCTTTTACGATCCAGCAGGTCAGCATTATTATCAACATCAGAATTATTGTCAGAATCTACTGCAGACACAGGGCTATCGTGTTCACATTGGGCTTGTTCATCATGCACGGGAGACATAGCTAGCCATGGGCGGAACGTCGCGCAACAAATCACACACTTCATAATACCAATCACTGTCCTGACTACTATCATTATCAAGTAACTTGAAACGAATTATGTGTATCACCCGCCTCGAAATTGTCCACGTGTTGGTGAGCAAGACGTCATTCACGACTTCGTCGAGAGTGCATCGTCAACATTGTCACTATGCACTCCGCCATTTTACGGTTTGCCGCTTTGAAACACGTGGAAATATGTTCTTGTGTATAGAAAATACAATAGATGGCACTTGCAGTTACGGTACTAATTTTAGCGAGGGCTTTACTGAGTACACGGTAATACCGGGTACGTGCATTTTACCGACATTTTATAATACCCGGTACTACCGGGTATACGCAGTGAAAGGGTTAAACATTCTACCTCAATTAAAAGCAGAGTTGTTATGCTCCAAAGTCTTGACCAATCAAATTGCTCATCGATCCTTAGCCTAAGCCGAAAATTCTTATCATCAAACTTAGTCAAGGTAATGATATAATGAATCTATACTCGGAGATTCATCACTCTCACTTAATCAAAACCAAAGTTATTGGCCCTAAAGCATCAACCAATCAGACTGCTTATCTCTGCTTACCGTAAGCCGACAATGTTTATCATCGAACTCAATCAAGGCATTCACCTAATGAACGCCTACACCAAGTTTGAACATTCTACCTCAACTAGAAGGAGAGTTATTGTGTTACAAAATCTTGGCCAATCAAATTGTTTATCGTTCTGCTTACCCTGAGCAGAAAATGCTCATTATCGAACTTAGTCAAGGTAATGATGTAATGAAACTATACACCAAATTTCATCACTGTCATTTAATTAGAACTAAAGTTATCGTGTCCCAAATCAACCAATCAAATTGCTTATTTCTGCTTACCCTAAGCAGAAAATTCTCATCTTCTAACTCTGAACTCCATCAAGGCATTCGCCTAATAAACACCTACGCCAAGTGTGAACATTCTAGCTCAATTAGAATGAGAGTTATTGTGTTCCAAAGTCTCGAACAATCAAATTGCTTATCGCTCTACTTACCCTGAGCAGAAAATGCTCATTAACAAACTTAGTCAAGGTATTGATGTAATAAAACTATATACCAAATTTCATCACTCTCACTTAATTAGTACTAAAGTTATCGTGTCCCAAAGCATCAACCAATCAAATTGTTTATCTCTGCTTACCCTAGGAGAAAATGCTCATCTCCATACTCCATCAAGGCATTCACCTAATAAACACCTACACCAAGTTTGAACATTCTAGTTCAATTAGAAGGAGAGTTATTGTGTTCGAAAGGCGGGGGACAACAAAAAACTGCAATAGGCAGATTTAGCTCTTGCATAATGCCTGTTTAATATTTTATGTACATACGTGTAGAAAATATGTTCAGCTGAGATACAATCTTTACTAGGATTTGTTGTCAGTAATTTTCCTAACTGTATAATACCTCTTAATAATACAATATTGTTAGATCTTAATAGATTCATTACCAATAATTCTCTTCTCTTACTGAAAATACAAGATGATAAAAAGTAAAACACAATCGATACTAAGCAGAGGATTCATTCACCACATGAGAAAATTATCAATCGAAAGTGGTAGATATAAGTAAATATCCGAAAAACATAAATATGAGTAGAAATTTAGTTAATATTTACCTTAAACTGATGCCAGTCAATGCACAATCATTTCTTAGTGTTATCGAATTGAAAACAATTATATAACATTTCATTTTTCAATACAGAAAGCACCACTATTATCTTTAACATTCTCATCTTATTTTTAGTATAGTTTATCTTTAAGAAGGGCAGCCCAATGATTAAACAAAACCTCCAAATACATCAATAATTATGCCACTATCCGTATTCATATATTCCACAAGTCTTTCATTAGTTTCCCCTATTCACTAAATAAACAGGGCCCTGTTTCTCGAAATCTTAACTAAAGATAAAATCCAAATTTTAGTAGATACTTCAATATTGATTGGCTAAGAACTAAAATCAATCTAATATTATCCAATCAAATTAATAAAATTTGGATTTTATCTTAGTTAAAATTTCATGAAACAGGCCCCAATCCTGTTGTATTTAAAGATGGGTTCCCAGAAAAGTATTTATCGGGTGGTTATTTCCAATAAAAGTATGGTAATTTTGGTATATATGTAAAGTAGAGATATCCAATCTTACTAGAAAAATACTGGATTCCCCCAAAAACACTCATGGAGCGTATACAGGACAAAAATGTAAGGGTTCCCCTAATCAACAGCACGACGATTAGGAATTTCTGCACGCGTGATGTCAAAGGTCACACGCAAACATTGAGCGCTTGATGTACAAGTTGATGAACTTTATGAAGAGTTAGACGTACAACACTTTCTGAGATAAAAATGACGGAAAAAGACGCGGGTAGTGGATAATTCAAGAATTTAATTAGGATTCGATATTTGTAATAAATCGTCTTATGTATGCAATGAATTCTCCTCTGACTTCCAAGAGAGGTAAGCACGTGACGTAAACATGACCTGGTTTGATCAAATTTTTATGGCAGGACATTCCTTCGCAATTACAATGTTTGAGAAGGATTTGAAGCAAAGTTATGACAAATTAATTAGTTTGAATATATTTTTAGTCCATATATACCATTAAATCACCCAGTTTGTACGCGGGAACCCATCATCTTTAATAAGTTATATCCATTTAAAAGTGGACTTCAAATTAACTGAAAAAGCTATCCTACTCAGTATCATTAAATTTTTAAGTTTCATCAAAATCAGATAAAAATTGTGACCTCTAGAGGGTCCACAACCTTCGTATTACACACTTCTACACAATTTGCATACAAAGAGCGGCCATTTTGTCAGGCAGTTTCATTTTGATTTTCCCGAAATTCGAATTCAAACTTTCATTATGGGTGAATGGTGATGTATTTAAACGGTTTTTAAAATCGGATAAAAATTGTGACGTCTACAGGGACCACAAGCTAAAAACGTGATTTTTTGTTCAATCAAGGGGCATAATTCAGGAAGTTACGATCCGATATGTGCGAATATCGAAAGGAACCAATCTATTTGGGTTATAAACATGCATTTCAAGTTTCATCGAAATCGAATGAAAATTGTGACCTATAGAGGGTCCACAACTTGATATACCTTATTTTTACGCTATTTGAGTAAGAGGGGCGGCCATTTTGTCTGTCAGTTTTGGTCCGATTTTTACTTAATTCAAACCCAACCATCCTTAGGGTCTAATGGTGATATATTCAAACGTCTTTTTTAAATCGGATAAAAATTATCACCTCTATAGGGTCACAAGCTAAAAACGCGATTTTTCATACAATCAGGGGCCATAAATCAGGAAGTTACGGTCTGATATACGTGTGAATATCGAATGGAACCGAGATCATTGGGTTATAAACTTACTATTCAAGTTTCAACAAAATTGGGACCTCTATAGGGTCCACAAGCTAAAAACACTATTTTTCATACAATCAGGGGCCATAATTCAGGAAGTTATGGTCCGATATGCACGAATATTGAAAGGAACTGAGATCTGTTATAAACATACATTTCGAGTATAAACCAACTCGGATAAACGTTGTGACCTCTACAGTGTTCACCAGCTAAAAACGTGATTTTTCGTACAATCAGGGGCCCTAATCCATGAAGTTACAGTCCGATACATGCCAATATCGAAAGGAACGGAGATCTTAGGGTGATAAACCTATATTTCAAGTTTCATTGAAATCGGATAAAAATTGTGACCTGTAGAGTGTTCACAAACAATTGTAGACGGATGGACGGACAAGGGCAACGACAATATACATCCACATGAAAATGTGGGCGTATAAAAAAAAATTGTTACCATGGTAAAGGATCTGTTACAGCTATTTTGGTATTTTCTGTTAAAAGTGTTTCCATGGCTTCCAATAAATAACCAACTGTTTCTTTACATCTGTCACCTGGGCCACCACGTTTTAATGACAGGGCAAAGCCCAGGTAAAATCTAGATGAATATACAAAACAATTATAAAATAAGAAGCTGAATAATTGACATCGTTTTAAAGATACATTATGTAAGATTTAGAAAAAAAACTGTCCGTTCTTGCTATAATAGTTCAAAAATAGATAATGAAATATGAATATATATTACTTTATTCTGCGCCAACATATCACTGTTTGTAGTTTTGACAGGATGTGTACATTGAATTAGCCTCGCTTCTCCATTTTTGAATTAAATTAAATTATTAAATGGCCAAACCGTTCTTATCTGCTTAAAATCGGAGCCATTTGATTGTCTAGGGTCATATAGAGTTAATTATGGCCTTGTCATGTTAATAAATGTCTAATGAATAATTTATATAACATTTAAGGCCCAAAGCAAGATTTAGCTCTTAAATACTGTATCCTTAATATGCCTTCTCAGATTATATTCTGATAATCATTTGAAGGGTATAATAATAGCCCAGATTTTAGCTCTCAGCCAATGAAAAAAACTTGATCCTTTAAATATTTTAGTCTTCGTGATTTGTGGGAGAAGGAAATTGTTGCATGAGCTGTTTACTGGTACAATGTATTTAAATATCTTATAGATTAATGACCAAAAATATTAATAAAGTATCGGACCTAGCCATTTGATGTTGGGGATTCCAGTTAATAGTTATTTCCAATCTCTTGATTGCCTCTTCAAATTCACCTTGCATGACTAGCAGGCGGCCAACATGGAAGTTATGTATTGATTTGGTTTCTTCAAGTGATAAGGCATCAAGATATTTTTGGTAAGCTTGACCTAAGGGAGATTCTTCATTGTTTACTTTATAAGCTGCAACAGCTTCCTGTTAGATAAAAAATAACACATCAATACTTCAGTTTTAAAATTAACATCCATATTAAGATACTATTCAAATACACCAGTTACTCTTAAAATACAAGTATCTTTAACTTGGTGTTGACAGACAATGAAAATTTGCACAGTTTTGTAATGGGAGATATTGTCGTTAACTTATTAAGATGCAAGTCAAAGGAGCCACAGGCCTGACTCAATTTAACATGTTTCAATGAGCCTGTGCTAAAATAAGAAAGATGAATTTCTTCCAACACAAGCAATTAACCTGTGACACCTAGTATTTGGCAGAAAAGGTGATTTTGAGATTATAACTATACATTAAATTTTATTGGTTTTTCAAATAGATCTTCACTATTCTATTTACAAAATGTTTTGCAGATTCAGTTGAAATTTTTGTTTTTTTTATGGATGCTCACAGAAGAAATTTTGACATTTTGTGATATTCTATTTCATTACATACTAAAATATTACAAAATATGTGACATTATGTGACATTACGTTGAAACGGGTTAAAAACAGAAATATAGCTGATTTTCTTCTAAAACGAACAATGTAGCTAAGTCATCAACTAGTATAATATAAAATTAGACCATATTATGTTGTTTCTAATCTTTTAAATTTAATTTTACCTGTGAGATTTTTTTTGAAAACCAGGCATACAGCCCCATCACTTGATCTGCCCTTCCACTTTGACCGGAATCTAAAAGATGATGATATTCTTCATCAATGGCTTTAAGTTGTAGGGAAACAGGAGCAGATGATTCCACACCACGTAATTTACATATAGCAAGGGCTTCTTCTAGTTTGGCACCTTCCTTTGCTTCATTATTGATAGATGGTATGTCTTCAGCGGTCTAAAAACAAGAAGTATTTTATAAAATAGACATGCAACCATGCCCACACAGCATCTATGTCTAGATACAAAGATATCTATAAACAGCAGCTTATTCAATGGGAAAACTTGGAGATTGACCAAATTTGATAAGTAACCTTTTATACCTTCAAGAAATCTGATCGTTATCATGCTCACGAGCTTTTCCAGACATAATATATCTCTGGAACAGCAAGTTCAGGAATGTTGAACACCCATATTTTGCAATGGACAGAGAACAAGCTAATAAAAAGCGATATTTCATACAATCAGGGGCCATATTTCAGAAAGTTATGGTCCGATATGCACACTTATCGAAAGGAACCCAGGTCTTTGGGATATAAATATATATTTTAAGTTTCATCAAAAACAGATAAAAATCGTGACTGTGGTGGTGCCAAGATTCCCCCCTCCCCGATAATTTTGAAAAATAAAATAATTAATACGTTCTACGGTGATCAATCCCACATTCCCACTAAGTCATTGACTTGCATGTTGTAGAGTCCGAGCGATTCCTTACCAAATCCATCCTGCTGTAAACCTACTATAAACAATAACATGTGAACCACTTGAGGAGAGCTTTTTACGATCCTCAAAGTTTTGGGGTATAGGTTCAACTTGGCGAGAATATTCATTCACTTTGATACACTCTGTTCATTTGACACTTTCCTCTCTGGTCAGATAAGCTAATGATTTGGCGACCAGTAGTATCTTGTCAGCTCTTTTAATTTCGACGTTCAGTTCCTGAAATACTGCTAGACTGCATTTCCAGCAGTTTATTTTTCAAAATTTTCTGGGGGTTGGTATTACATACTTTTAAACGATTTGCGTAAGAGGAGCGGCCATTTTGTTGGCAGTTTCCATCCAATTTTCTCGAAATTCGAACTCGTCCGTCATTAGGCTGTAATGGTGATATATTTGAACAGTTTTCAAAATCGGATAAAAATTGTGACCACAAGCTAAAAACATGATTTCTCGTACAATAAGGGGTCATAATCCAGGAAGTTGCAGTCCGATATGCGTGAATGTTGAAATGAACTGAGATCTTTGGGTTATAAACATAAATTTCAAGTTTCATGAAAATCATATAGAAATTGTGACCTGTAGAGTGTCAAAACAAAATGTGAACAGATGTCCTGGGGCGAGAACAATATGCGTCCACATGAAAATGTGGGCGTATAAAAACAGTATGGTTCATCCTATCCGATCCGTATGAATAAAATCCATTAACAACTGTAGACTCTATCACGTTTGGAAAACGCGGCATAAGAGCGGAAAGAAAGGTTGCATAATGGTTAAAATCGATAGGGTTTATCCTTTTATGACCACAATGCTTCACATCAAATTTGAATAAGGTATGTTAAAAACTGTAGTCTTTATCAGAAAGTTTTTTGAAAAAAGAACGCTGAATATCAATAGGATTTACCCTCTGTTGATATGCATGCTTTGCTTCACACCAAATTTGGAATATGTTTAAAACTAAAGCCTCTATTACTTTTATAGTCTAATTGTTGATGGACCAACGAACAAGTGTATGACATAATACGCCCACACTGAAAAGTGAGCATATAGAAATGCATCAATCCCAACACAAGCAATCAACCCTAAATTAAAGATATTCTACCTCTTTCTTTAAGCCTGACATATCTTCTACATAGTACATTTCTTCTAATAACATGGCTAATTGAGAATGTAAGTTGGCATCTTTAGGTTTAAATTTGACAGCAGTGGCATAGTTATGTACAGCTATTTCCAAATAATCTAATGGTGATTCACTGTCATCAAAATGTCTATAAACACCTGTAATTATAAACCATTTATTATTATTACTACATTATAATTGAGTGAAATAAAGGAGGAGTGTACATGCACATAGTTAATGCACAGAATCTCAAAGTGTTTTTATTTGGAAGTTAATACTGACTGAATGTAAATATGGAGAACACAATTTGTTAAAATAAAGAAGGTTATTATAAACTCAGTTGACCTTTAAGTTCTCCTATTATATTTACAAACTCTTATTTGATTCAAGTGATATATTATTCAATAATCATAATTTGATTTTAACTAATAAAGAAAACATCGAAACCATGACAGACTGTATGATCTTCTCAGCCACATTTTGTCCCTAAGAATAATCAGTATTTTAATTGTTAACCAATTTGATTAGTATATTTACATTACCTGGTGTTGGTAGAATATCAAAGTATTTTTCTATATGTTCTTTAGCATTTTTCTCTAATACTATAACATCAGTTTCATCATATATCTGCTGTAAATTCTTCTCCCATTTCCGTGTCTTTATAAAAGATAAAAATATTACAATAACAGAATTAATTATTTATATATTTTTATATCCATATCTATTTTACTTTATACTTTGTCTTCTGATACAAAAAACTTTCAGGCCATTAATTTTAAAGGACAATTGTCTGCTGCATTTCCTCACTATCAACGGGAAAGAAGTATTAGATGCTATAAGTCTCTATAAAGCTATATGATGCAACATGCGATTACCATTACTCTTCACAGGGTATGAATAAAAAGATTTAATGATTTGAAACTTACTTGTATTGAGTGTTTTGATGTAACTGTTGTTGATTTAAATTTATCTTTTACATCCTAAAATTATAAATTTCTCACTCCTCAAAATACATCAATATTGATATCCTTATAAAGCCAAGTATCCTAATGATTTTGGGGGAAAGTTTGTGTGACTGACAAATAAATATCAGAAAAATTAAAAAAACATAGCATTTGCATGTACACTTTGACCTAGAAATGCCAAATCACATATCCATTCGCAAGTTTTAAAACTACTATTCTATGACTCGATTTTGGTGCACTGGTTTTATATCTTCTAGTTAGACAATATTCTTCTAATTTGGGGATTTGGAAGAACCCTGACTCAAAAGGCCATATTAATACAATTTTACATAAGTTTGTATGTACTATAACATATATTACTTTTATAATATTCTGAGGGGATCACCTGACAACTTTTTTTAGAAACTGGTCCACTTGACATGGAATGACCCTGCACAGTTTATTTGAGTAGAGCAAATGAAATGAAATGGGGTTTAACATCCTACTCCAACTGGTTGAGTAGAGTAAATGATTAAATTTTATCAACTTTTGCCATCATCTTCGGAAAAAGTTTTTAAGTCATCACATTAAAACTAGTTTGAATGATTCAATAATGCATATAATGGACGATGATAAATGTATACAAGATAAATAAAGAATATGTATACAAGATGTTGCAACATTCGTATATGAAATGTTTAAGAACAGACATTAAATACCATTTGCTATGTAAGGCCTAATATATACTTTACAAGCATTAGTAATATAATGTAATATATACTGAGCGCCATGGAAAACACATCACTTTTTTTTCCCAAATATTTTATTACTAGGTGGTTTTGTATGTATAATATTATGCAATACTATGAACTATTGTTTCACACAATGCTCCCAAACGCAAAAAATATCGGCCCATGTGCAAAAAAAAAATTGCATGAGATTCACATGAAAAACCCAATATTCACGTGCAGCATTGTGTGTGAGCCCTTTAAAAGCATGTTTTCAACTTAATGTGCAGTACATGAACTGTGAAACGTCAATCTGTCGTAATTTGTTGTTGGACGAGTGAAGGAATCGAGCTAGAGATGCAGAGACTTACTGAAAATCAACAGAATGAAGCCATGGGAATGAGGAATGTCCAGGGCTGGCATGTCTACACGTACTATTGCCAGACACTTCAATTGTCATCAGTCCACTATTGTAAGGTTGGTGAAACGTGTTCGAGTTACTGGATCAACACGTGACTGTCAATGTCCTGGTCCACAATGCGTTACAACCCAGGCTCAAAACCGCTACATCCGGGTCACTCATCTGCGTGACAGATTCCGCCCAGCGACTCGAACAGGTGCAGCAGTCGTCGGAAGACAAGGACCAGTAAGTGTTAACACTGTAAGACGTCGTCTAAGAGAAGTAGGACTCTGTGCACGACGACCTTATGTTCGAGCTATCTTTAGGGATCATCACCGTCAGCAGCGTTTGATATGGGCTCAAGGACACCAGACATGGAGAAGTGTAGACTGGCAAAGTGTGCTCTTCAGTAATGAGAGTCGCTTTCATCTTTATCACGCTGATGGCCGTCAACGTGTGTGGAGACGTCTTGGGGAACGTCTTGCAGACTGCTGCGTCTTCAAAACGAATCGATGGGGTGGGGGAAGTGTAATGGTGTGGGGAGGCTTCACATTTCATCACCGGACCGCCCTACACATTTGCAGGGGTCGTGTTAATGCCGTAGCCTACCGTGATGATGTCTTGCAACCAATTGTTGTTCCGATGTTTCGAGCGCACCCACAACTTCAGCACTTCCAACAGGATAATGCACGTCCGCATACCGCCCGTTTCAGTATGGACTACCTGGCTGCTAACAACATCAATGTCTTGGACTGGCCAGCCATGTCTCCGGACATGGCACCGATAGAACATGTCTGGGATGAGATTGGACGCCGTCTGTATCGGAGACCACAGATGCACACCATTGCTGCTTTAGAAGCTGCTCTTGTCCAAGAATGGAACAATTTGCCCCAGGCCTTCTTTCAAACATTGGTAAATTTCATGCGACGTCGCTGCACAGTGTGCATAAGAGCCCGTGGAGGACACACGCGCTACTGACATCTGTGTCGTACTTTTGGTTTTGACCCCTCTGACTGTGTACCGTTGATTACAGATTAAACATCCATAAGTGTACAAATGTGTTGTTATTGATGTGTTCCCATTTGAACATTGTTCACAATAAGAAGCAAAATAAATAAGATATGTTTACAGGATCATTTTGTTATATGAAAAACTAAGTGATGCGTTTTCCATGGCGCTCAGTATACTTTTAGAAACCTCTATAAACCTTATTCTATGTTCTTGATGTTCTATTATTGTATTGTACTTTGTATTTATGCTTTACCATACCCGTGTATATACCATGCAGTTGTGTAATAAAGCATTATTATTATTATTATTATTATTAAAAGGGTTAATGGTCTACATGTTCCTATATGCTCGTTTTAAAAAGTGTGTATTAATTTGATGATATCTGTATGTCAAACGTATAAAGACCTACCATGAGGCTTGTAAAACATACCTGTTCAGTTATACAGATAATATAAGTCTTCTACAAATGAATATAAATTTCCTACCTCAACTTTTGGTACAATGTTACATTTCTCTAATAATATGGAACCAATTTCTGTGAACTTTTTTGCTTCTGACATTGCTGTAATTATTCAAAGTTTACAGGTAAAGTAAATAAAAGTGATGCAATTTTAACTATTTCATCTGGCTCTGGGAGTTTCATTTCATGGAGTATATTTTGATGTTCTAGTCTCTGCATCATACAGAATTTCTATATCACATTAAATTACCGTGTACTATCTTACTGGAAACCAATTACAGCTGGGGCAACGGGAATACAAGGAGAAAGTGCCATATTCAAGGACACAGTGATTCCAAACATAAGTAAAGGTAAGGATCACATGCTGCAACCCACCCTCATTATACTTCCTATCTTGTATATCAAAGCTGCAACTTTATTGCAATTCTTTTAAATATCAAAAGTTTATAGTCTTCTGTAACAAGTACATGTATTCTGGCTTATGATCATGAACTAGTCTACAATGGTGAACAATTTTTTCAACAAGATAAAAGCAATACAAACTTACTTCCATTTATAAGAGGGATGGACACCATAGCAGACGACATTTTTGAATCCAAATCCTGTGACACAATTTTCCAATCTGGTGGTAAAGGCTGATTGTTTAAAGGATCATATTTTGATGTTTTAGTATATTCTGATATAAGGGGCCCAGAGAATGTATGCATTGGTTCACTATTTTTAATAGTAATAGGTTGATAAAGTGGGTTTAAAGATATTGGACATTCAAATAATAACCCTTGTTGTGAATCAGTAAATTTAACAAATCGTGGAATTTGCTTTCGAACAACTTCAATGGTGTACAACTGAAAATAAAATAAAATTACTTCTAAATTACATGATCTTGCTTGTCTTTGAAACTATTTTGATTTTCATTTCTCATAAAAATATTTTGTTTTCTTCTCTCGTAAAAATGTTTCATAAATTGAACCAGTGTTTGCCATGCAAGATACGCCTACATTTTGCAAGCGATGGATAGAGAACAAGCTAAATCAGAAAACCCTGCGATTTTTCGTACAATCAGACGCCATAATTCAGTAAGTTGTGGTCTGAAATGCGTGAATATTTAAAGGAAGTGAGATTTTTGGGATATAACGTTTATATTATGAAGATATATTTTAAGTTTCATCAAAATCGGACAAAAATTGTGACCTCTAGTGGATCCACAACCTTGGTATTACATACTTTTACACTATTTGTGTTCAAGGAGAAGCCATTTTGTCGGGCAGTTTTGGTCCGATTTTTCCAAAATTCAAACTCAACCATCATCTGGTATAACGATGATATATTTAAATGATTTTTAAAATCAGATAAAAATTGTGACGTCTAGAGGGGTCCACATCCACAAGCTAAAAATGTGATTTTTCGTACAATCGGGGGCCATATTCCCGGAAGTTATGGTCTGATATGCACAAATATTGAAAGGAACTGAAATCTTTGGGATATAAACATATATTTTAAGTTTCATCAAAATCAGATAAAAATCGTGACCTCAAGAGGGTCCACACTCCACAACCTTGGTATTACATACTTTTACACTATTTGCATTCAAGGAGCCGCCATATTGTCAGGGAGTTTCGGTCCGATTTTTTTACGAAATACGAACTCAACCATCATCAGGGTATAACGATGATACCTTTAACAGATTTTTAAAATTGGATAAAAATTGTGACCTCTAGAGGATCCACAAGTTAAAATTGCGATTTTTTTGTACAATCAGGGGACATAATCCAGGAAGTTACTGTCCGATATGTGAAAATATTGAAAGGAACTGAGATTGTTGTGATATTAATACTTGTTTTAAAATTCATCAAAATCGGATCAAAATTGTGACCTCTAGAGGGTCCACAACCTTGATATTACATACTTTAAACACTATTTGCGTACAGGGAGCGGCCATTTTGTCCGGCAGTTTCTGTCTAATTTTCATGAAATTCAAACTCATCCATCCTTATGGTGTAAAGGTGATATATTGGAATGTTTTTTAAATCGGATAAATAGTGTGACCTCTAGAGGGACCACAAGCTAAAAACATAATTTTTCGTAAAATCAGGGGGCCATAATCCATGAAGTTACGGTCTGATACATGCCAATATTGAAAGGAACTGAGACCTTTGGAGATGAAACTATACAGGGTCCACAACCTTGATATACCATATTTTAACACTATTTGCGTACAAGCGGCGGCCATTTTGTCCAGCAATTTTGGTCCGATTTTTACGAAATTTGATCTCAACTTTCCTTACGGTGTAACAGTGATATAATCAAACGTTTTTTTAAATCGGATAATAATTGTGACCTCAAGAGGGACCACAAGCTAAAAAAGGCAATTTTTTGGACAATCAGGGGCCATAATTCAGGAAGTTACGATCCGATATGCGCAAATATCGAAAGAAACCAAGATCTTTAGGTTATAAACATCCATTTCAAGTTTCATCAAAATCAAATTAAAATTGTGACCTCTACAGGGTCCACAACCTTGATATACCATATTTTTACACTATTCGCGTACAAACGGAGGTCATTTTGTCCAGAAATTTTGGTCCAATTTTCACGAAATTCATACTCAACCTTCCTTACGGTGTAACGGTGATATAATCAAACGGTTTTTGAAATCGGATAATAATAGTGACCTTCAGAGGGACCACAAGTTAAAAAAGGCGATTTTTCGGACAATCAGGGGCCATAATTCAGTAAGTTATATTCCGATGGACGCAAATCTCGAAAGGAACCAAGATCTTTGGGTTATAAACATGCATGTCAAGTTTCATCAAAATCGGTTCAAAATTGTGACCTATATAAGGTCCACAAGCTGAAAACGTGATTTTTCAGACAATCAGGGGCCATAATCCATGAAGTTTTGATCCGATACATGCCAATATCGAAAGCAGTCGAGATCTTTTGGGGATAAACCTATTTCAAGTTTCGTCAAAATCGGATAAGAATTGTGACTTGTAGAGAGTTCACAAACTATTGTGGATGGACAGGGACGACAACAATATATGTCCACATGAAAATGTGGGCGTATAAAAATGCTTCATTCTTCAAATGCAACTTCCTTGTGAGAAAATAAATAAGAAAACTGAAGAATAAATAAGAAAACTGAAAAAGTTAGATTCTCAAAAAATCTACCTGCTTATTTGAACCATCTACAGAAGTGACTTCTGTTTGTATAATAGTTTGTCCTATATTAAGACATACAGCTGATGGAGGTTTCTCTCCATTGACTACTACTGCCATTTTAATATCAGGAACTGTTGGTGTTACATACAGCTGGGATACGTCGCATGCAACCAAAACTAAAATTAAAACAAAACTTTTCATAAGTAACATCTGATGAAATATAATTACTTTTTTTTATTTCTAATTTTGGAATGTTTAAATCTCTATTTTGGAATGTTTATGTAGAAGCTTATCTATTTTAGAGTGATTGCTTGATCTGTCCACCAATATATTTGAAACACAAACTTGACCTGTGGCAACTTGGATGTTCACTGTGCATACAACATGGCTAATTTGAGAGATGGACATAATATACCAAAGTTTTTGTTCTTTCAATTCAAAAGTTACCAATGGCAATAATGACATTTATCTAAAGTTTTGTGGTTTGATATACAAGGACAAGTATGTGTGCTTTATTTGATAAACAGGAGAACAAAACTAAAATTAGAAACTGAAAATAATTGGAGAAAAATAATAGGTTTTGTACTAAATTTGTTTCAACAAGGGGTTGGGTGGCCGAATGGTCTAATGTATGTGCTTTAGATCATAAGGTATCATTGAGGCATGGAGGTTTTTCATATTTCTGAAGCAATGGCCTGAGAAATCCCTCTCTAGTCATTGCTGGATTGGCTTCTAATACTTGAGTTTTTGAGAGAGTGTGTCTATTCTTCCCGTTCAATCAAATTTATCCCAAGTACAGTAACATGACAGCCCTTTGTTTAATCTGGGGTCTTCCCTAAAACTTTGGACAGTGATTTAAGCTATTAAAAACGGTGAAAGTATTGTTCGTCTCCAAAAAGTATTGCTTACATTGTCAGGGATGTGCACAGGATTTGCTGAGTGGTGGAAAAAATAGATTCCGAGCGGAGTGAGTAAAAAAATTTTTGGGGGGGAGGGGAGCATGGTCTTTCATGAAAATTCAACCCTTCTTGGTGTATTTTCAGAGCATCTGCTGCCTTTTGTATTTGCTTCAGTGCAAATCAAATTTCCACTTATATATTCAAATTTTTACCAAATTCACTTAATTTTCATCAATGATACAGAGACTCTGCCAGGCAGTAGCAGAATTGAACTGCTACAGCACCACAGCATTTTTTTGTACCGGTACATAAAAAATAAAGTTTCCAAAATTCATTTATTGTCCATATGCTAAACAAAACTAATGTAAGTGGTATTACATATACCATTATAGTTATTATTACTATAGTTTACAATATACTGCAAATTAATTTACTTAAAAAAAAAAGAACTGTTTCAAAGTCAAAAGCCTCTCGTACTTATTATTAGTGATTAGTGAACATAAGTAAAACAGTAGAATTATTTTTTTGTGGCAAGTGTAAATAAAATGGACTGTAAGCCCAGCTGTCTCTAAGTTTTAGTTTAGATTTGGTAGAATTAACGGTAGAATGAATACATTAAAAATTGATCATAAAACCGAAAGTACGACACCATTTACGACATCCAAACCTTTAACTTTGGAGTGCCGTAAATTGGTCTGGGTGACCTATTACGGCAAATATACAAATTTAAAGACCACAACTTCTAAATATAAATAAACAAAATACCAATACTTCTTTCTTTAAACTAATTTGGGATGATAGGGTCTACTACGGCACACAAAAATAAATTATGCCGTGGCAGACATGGTTTGCGTCGGCTTTTACCATGGCTTTGCCGTTTGCCGTGGTAAATTTCGAGCACTGAGTTTGTGTACAGAGAAGGACGAATGGGTTTAAATACGACTGGCCGGCTTTCTTAGATTTTTTCTTTGTGCTGGTCGGCAAAAAATAGTGCCGCCCGGCGAGAGCACAACCCTGCATTCTATCCATTTTGATAGCCTCGTTTTCACACAATTAGTTTTTCTGCAATATTCTGCTATGCACTGGTTAATTGGGTGCAATAAAATCGTGAGTCATGACGTAACGTTATGTAAACATATTTGGTCCAATTTGGAGCTCTGTTTAAAGCGTAATGATACTGTTATGCAGTTAGCTATTGGTTGTTAATTGGACTATTGACCAGTAATAATTTGGAACAGAAATTTGCTTCCATCACAGCAGTGTTAAGTGGGATTAGCTCCAATCAAATGAAACACTGCGATAAGTATGTGAGGGTTTTGATTCCCAGCTTATACGTTACAAGGAGTAGGGTAGCCTCATGGGTTTTCTCTTGGTCGTCCAGTTTCCTCTCACTGCTAAAGACCCTTACACGGAAGGGAATTATTATTGAAATAAAATTGAACCATATGTATGTTAGTCCTGAAATGACCTAGTTTGTGTTGAGTGGACATAAAACCCATCTCTCTCTCTCTCTCTTGTTTAAACAGGTACGACTATAAAGATTAAAATGATTAGTTTACCATTGTATTCAAACACACTGGACATAAATTCTGGACATAAAGTGCCTCTATTGAGCTGTATACCATTAAGCTCTGCAGCTTTAGATGACAAACGATTAGCATGAATAAAATAATATTTAGTTGTTCTTCCATCTTCTGCTGTCACTTCTATTTTGATGTCTGTGACACAACCCTCAAGCAAGGCTACCCTCTTACTCTCATCACAACCCTGTAATAAATATTTTAATATTTCTAAAACTGATAAAATTTCAATCTTTCCTATGTTTTATTAATTTTGCATCAAACATCCATCAAGAACTGTCAGTAGCAATTACTTTGTGCTTCGACTAAAAAGTTATTTTTTAGTTGGGAATATACAATATACAGGATCGAATTAGAGAGTGGGGGGTGCAGGGGGGGGGGGGGGGATAAGTTTACATTTTTTTCACTCACCTTGGTGTCTTTACATTATGCTATGTGGCAATTTGATTGGTTAATCGGTGTAATAACACTGAGGTGTGTAAAAATGTAAAAGACTGATTAATCATATTTTTTGTGTGCGTCTAAATTGCCGAATTCGATAAGTAACTGCCATTTATACCACATGAACAGTTTGTGAGCTGATATTAAAATCTACCAACTGATATTAAAATCAGGCTTTTTTTTTTACAATGTATCATCACAGCAAGTTTCAACATTATTGCTTTAACAGTTAGTCTGGTTTCTTTTGCAGTTTATTTGTTAACCATGATCCTAAAATGGCCATATTTCAAAACTTAATGTAATCTATACATCCCAAACTTTAATATATGAATATGAGTAAACTTTTAAAGGCAATTATTTCATTTTCCAAATTTACTTTAATAGCTAGTCTGTAGTAAATGGTGTGAAAATGACACCATGATTCAAGGGCCATAATTCAGAAAATTACAATTCCATATGCGCAAATATCGAAAGGAACTGAGATCTTTGTGTTATAAACTTACATTTCAAGTTTCAACAAAATCGGATAAAAATTGTGACCTCTATAGGGTCCACAACCTTGATATACCATATTTTTACGCTTTTTGAGAACGAACAGCAGCCATTTTGTTTGTCAATTTTGGGCCGATTTTCACGAAATTCGAACTCAGTCATCCTTAGGGTGTAACGGTGATATAATAATACGTTTTTTTAAATCAGATAAAAATTATGACCTCTATAGGGTCCACAAGCTAAAAACGCGATTTTTCTTAAAATCAGGGGCCATAATTCAGGAAGTTACGGTCCGATATGCGCGAATATCGAAAGAAACTGAGATCTTTGTGTTATAAACTTACATTTCAAGTTTCAACAAAATCGGATGAAAATTGTGACCTCTATAGGGTCCACAACCTTGATATACCATATTTTTACGCTATTTGAGAACGAACGGCAGCCATTTTGTCTGTCAATTTTGGCCCGATTTTCACGAAATTCAAACTCAGTCGTCCTTAGGGTGTAATGGTGATATATTAATACGTTTTTTTAAATCGGATAAAAATTATGACCTCTATAGGGTCCACAAGTTAACCAGTGGCTGCCAGGCAGGATACGCCCACATTTTCCAGAGATGGATAGAGTCCAAGCTAACAAGAAAGTGATTTTTCCTACAATCAATGGCCATAATTCAGAAAATTACAATTCCATATGCGCAAATATCGAAAGGAACTGAGATCTTTGTGTTATAAACTTACATTTCAAGTTTCAACATATTTTTTCGCTATTTGAGAACGAACGGCAGCCATTTTGTCTGTCAATTTTGGGCCGATTTTCACGAAATTCGAACTCAGTCGTCCTTAGGGTGTAACGGTGATATAATAATAAGTTTTTTTAAATCGGATAAAAATTATGACCTCTATAGGGTCCACAAGCTAAAAACTCGATTTTTCATACAATCAGGGGCCATAATTCAGGAAGTTACGGTCCGATAAGCGTGAATATCGAAAGGATCCGAGATCTTTGGGTTATAAACTTACATTTCAAGTTTCAACAAAATCGGATAAAAATTGTGACCTCTATAGGGTCCACAACCTTGATATACCATATTCTTACGCTATTTGAGAACGAACGGCGGCCATTTTGTCTGTAAGTTTTGGGCTGAATTTCACGAAATTCGAACTCAGCCGTCCTTAGGGTGTAACGGTGATATAATAATACGATTTTTTAAATCGGATAAAGATTATGACCTCTATAGGGTCCACAAGCTAAAAACGAAATTTTTCGTACAATCAGCAGGGCAATAATTCAGGAAGTTACGGTCTGATATGCACGATTATCGAAAGGAACTGAGATCTTTGGGTTATAAACTTACATGCCAAGTTTCAACAAAATCGGATAAAAATTGTGACCTCTATAGGGTCCACAAGCTAAAACGTGATTTTTCGTACAAACAGGGGCCATAATCCATGAAGTTTCGATCCGATACATGCCAATATCAAAAGCAGCCAAGATCTTTTGGGGATAAACCTATATTTCAAGTTTCAAAAAAATCGGATAAAAATTGTGACCTCTATAGGGTCCACAAGCTAAAACCGTGATTTTCTGTACAAACTGGGGCCATAATCCATGAAGTTTCGATCCGATACATGCCAATATCAAAAGCAGCCGAGATCTTTTGGAGATAAACCTATATTTCAAGTTTTGTCAAAATCGGATAAGAATTGTGACCTGTAGAGTGTCCACAAACAAATTGTGGACGGACGGACGGACAGGGGCGACGGCATAATATGTCCACATGAAAATGTGGGCGTATAAAATAGCCAAAATAGAAGGGAAAATCCCAAATACTTAATATATGTATGAATATATCTGTGTATAGATGTACATATGATTGCTTTGATTCAATATGCTCCAGTTTTTCAATGCTCAAATTAATAAAAACTGTTATGCATTCAGTAATGAAAGAGGAATGCCTCAATGACGGACACGATCGATCTTGACAAAATCGCCGATCGGTGGACAAACTGGACTTGATGAAATTCAAATAATATATTCACCTCAAAAATATATCAAAGATATAGGTCCATGTAAATGATGTAATTATTATAACTTTCAGAAGTTGTCACAGATTCTCAGTACTTTGTACTTTCTTGCAAATTTTTTAATAAATAACATGAATCCTCATGCGTAGTACTCAATTTTACTCATGTTATAAGTGTTTTTTCTAACCATCAGAATTCTGCAAAATCTTCCCCCAAAGTCCAGGAAATGGCATTTCAGGAACGCTAGATTCAAAGATTTCTTAGGGGGAGCATGCCCCCACCCCCCACCTAGAAAGCTTGCTGTGTCACTCGTATTAGAGGCCTGTGCAAGCAGTTGGTCTCATTTTTCTAAACAACCGCCGAACAAAATCGATATGTACACCCCTGCCATTTCTAATTTAGTTCAAGAGATATTTTTTATGTCCTCCACTAAATCTCATTGCAACCCTTCATAAGAGCATTCAGGAAATCTTTAGGAAATACCCCCACCCGTTTCGAACCATATTTGAAATTTTTCTATGAAGTTAGCTATGTCACAATTAGGCCTACTGGCTGCTACTAAGTAGTAAGTAGCTAGTACTACTACTAGGTTAACTGACATTTAAAGCCAGTACCATTCTGTTTATAAACATACTACATTGTACTAAAATAATGTCTTCCCTTATTTTCAGGCCACAAGCGCAATTGAGGCAGCTCACTTATTTTACTTATGAACAAAAATAGAGAAATATGAATAATCATTAGAAATATGGTTCGGTCAGGGCCATGGATTAAATTTTTTTTAAGCCAGGCAGTGGCTATTGTTACAACGAGCCATCCATCTTAAAAAACTGAATAGTCCTGCTAAAGACTAGTCCTGTGGCTATTGTTACGACCATATGCCCCCCCCCCCCTCGCCACTAATGCAAACCACAAAATCCTGGATCCGGGCGCCTGACTAGGGTTAGGGTTAACCATAGATAATACCGGTATTATCTATTGGTTTACTAACCCTAAACTTTGCCGATGGAGGGCTCTGAAAGCATCATCGTAACAATAGCCTGAGATCTATAATTCTATTGTTACGACGCCACTGCTGACTGCGGCACTGTCTTTTTTTTAATGAGATTTAATGACATACAAATATTCTGTAAGAAGCACCGCCATCACTGGTCAGTGGTTCAAGGGTAAGTTTTTCGATGTCACTTGTTAGAGTAATGCTGTATTCAGTGACGGATTTGTCAAACGCCCTGTTCAATTTTCCAGGCTTCACGCAAAGTTTGTCCAAGTCACAATCGTCCATGTTGAATCCAAGGACGCTTATCAGCGTCGGTTATCTTGTCACAATGCAAGGATATCCAGTCGAAGGGGTCGACTTCCTCCTTTGATTCGGCGATATTCGGTCAGACTACGATTTTTGTCTTCTTACCCATTCGTGCCTACGGTAGACTAATCACCGGAATTCACCGGAAATCATTTACAATCACCGGAATTCACCGGAATTCACTTCGAAAACCCCCGATTCCTCCCACAAAACTCACTTATTTTAAATGTATAATACATTTTGATCTCTCCACAGGCCAGATAAAGGCGCTGTATGTGAATTTATTTGAAAGACTACCGAAATTCATATCATGATTATGATAACGTAGGGCGGAGCTTTTACGGGTTTCCATTTTGACGTCATTTTCGGTCATGCGCAGACATTGGCCTTATTGTTAGACTGAAACCCATAGGCCAGTGTGTGTTTTTTTGTGAAAATACCGTCGTACAGTAAGCTTCTTTTACATAAAATGGAACTGAATGCCATTTTCTATATACGCGTAAGGTTTACCGACCGATGGCAGAAAGCGATATTTACAAAAACTTCGATATAGGAAAGATACGGCAAGTTTACCAGACCCGTAATTTGCCGTTTGCAATTGAAACAAGTGGATGACTGATCCGTGCTCAATGGCCCGAACTAAAATTAAGTGATGTTTATTACGCATTTTACGGTCAAACAGAATTATATATTAATTACGGGACTATTAACACAAAAGATTTTTAAAAATGGCCTATCCTATTTACATTCAACTGCCGACTGGACAGTTCTTTGCGAGGTTGATATATCGTCTGCTATAGCACTGCATGCCACGACCCTACGTACTCGACACAAAACACGGTATACTATGTTGGTCTTTGTTTGAGGCTGTCGACTTGAAAATAATTCCAGCTAATAATACTATAAATAGTATGCAATATGCAAATAAGATTGTTTATGCATGCGTGCTGTTAGCCAATAGCTATTGTAAATTTCCCCGCGTTTAGACGGCTCTTACCAATGATAAAATAGTTTTTTGGTGCACGGGGTACAACTTCAGCCATTTTTATAAATTTTTCTCTTATTGATGGGATATGAATAACATAAAGAATAAAACGACGATCAAGTTGAATCTGTGAATATTTTTTAAAACCTTTTTTTTTTTGTTAATTTTAGTCACATAAATCGTCTTGGCTCAGCATTTGGCACTCAGTGAAATTTTAATTTAATCAGTTTATCTTGCCGCAACCAAGAAGAAGAACGATACATTTGTGTCCATTTTATCAATTTCTAATTCAGTATTTGGTTCAGAGAACAACTGTTGAATGAAAATATGTAACTGGACTCGGTGCATTCTATACATCGTAATTATTAATTGTTCTCTTTTTTATTAGATGTGCTACGGTCATGCTTAAATTTTAATATCGTCTTGAATAATTCTTTTGTGGAACCGCAGGTCACCATCTCTAATTACCCATTCAATAATTTACTCTTATGCTCTATTTCATGGCATTTTACAACCAAACAGATGTTATCTATTAATTTTTTGCAGTAAAATTAAAACAGCAATGCATCTTTGTAATGCTTTTGCGTACTGCGGTCAACTGGGCCGTGTGCGAGCTTGACATTATATATCGTCTGCTACAACGCAGTGTATCATATCGTCATTAAAACAAAAAAATAATAACTTAGACATGATTTGAAATCGGTAATTTATTACGAATGCTACACGCAACTTAAAACAAGAGTGGCATTAAAGAATACGTTTTCTATACAGAGAAAAAGAGGGAATACCCCGCTTTCCCTAGCATCAAGATACGGATAGAAAAAGGCCAGGCTAAAAATAGACACCGGAAGTACGTCACGCGTAAAAGCTCCAAAATAACACATAATGTCGTTAGTCCGAAATGACGCGAGACCAAAATGACATACTATTAATATTATTAGCTTTATTCGAGTTTTGATTTAGCCTAGGGCCTATTTACAAATCTGCCCACAGTTTTCATAATCATGGCCCTAAGTAAATCAACCCATCGGAATATGTGTTATGCCAGATATGTTCTTTAAATACTTCTAAAAATATTGTGGAAACAGTGGCGAAGTGGTTACAGATACAAAGTGGAATACCGTTTCCTGTTACTAATTTCAGACGGAAAAAGAAAACAGTTATTAATAATGACCTACTCAGACTGTCAGGATTAGCCAAAAAATTATTTCTCATACTAGGTATAATCGGACATTGTGAATTATGCTTATGGTAGATGTTTTATATTATACGTGAGAAATATGTACTTTACTAGTAGATTTATTTCAGAGAAAGGTCAATATTTACGTCTTATATGGGCCCAACCCTTGGCCTTGCTATACCGCTATACGAGAACGTAGCTAAAAAAAAAAACGTTGAGATATACTCAGTATACTGTTGTTTGTTTTTAGCTACGATTGTGTGTCTTAAGTTTTACCTTGCAAACTCAGTTTTATTTTTTTTTACAGAGGCCAATGTAGTGACACAACTTAAAGGAGCTAAATCGCTAACATTTGGGACCTAGAAATTGACAAGAGTAGGTCGCAACACATATAATACTGTAGTATGAATGTATATAAACTGATTTACATTCAATGGTTTCCGTTTTTACTCCAATTTCAAATCAGTTATGTACGGCGAAATAAGCCAGCAGTCTCAAGCGAGTGCAAATTTCTAGCGTCTGGTTATTCCAGTCTACATACGCCGTTTGATTTGGTGCAATGTGTCTAGCTTCGTCCCTCGAGTCTCTTGATACAACTGGGACTGAAGCACATTATGGTACACGATTCGTGTACCAATGGTAAAATGTTTATTATGTCTTAAATATTGGATATCAAAAGCCCATCCTTTTCCGGTAAGATCACAACATGAATGTTGATTTAATTTGACAAATAAATCGTGTTTTCAATGTTGAAGATTTTGGATGATATTGAGTTAGAGACTTAGCTACTTTAAGTATAACTACTGTCTGAACCATCGTAAATTTTAAACGGATTTCTTCGATTATTATCAAACTACTTATCTTTGGTTATTGTAAATGTAAACTTACATGTGTGTTTGAAATCAACTCCCGTTAAATAAAATCCATTGCACAATTTAATATCCCAACGAATAAAAAAGTTCTCTTTTGAAAAAATTGACGTATTTACGAGTTCAAGACAACATGGCTTTCCTCCCGTGTTGGACGAAACCATTGAATCTGTTGCGGGGTATGACAGAGATTTTGACAACCACGTGTGGCAATCAAAAGAAAGCGTCCTCATTTCGATCGTTTGAGTTTGGGCAACGAAAAATATCAACTGAAGACAGTTTTGACCATATTGTGATATTATGGTGCAATATTTATTGTTCAAGATGAAAATATATTCTTTATCAATTATTTTTTTTTTTAATTTATTGTAAATAATACTTAAATCACACCATAGCCCCCACCTTCAATAGAAGGTTTAATCTCGCTTTAACTACGTACATCTTAACAGATGTTGTAAAACTCATAGTCGTTGCTTCAGGAACATGCATATAGCCACATAATTTTAAATACCCTGTACATGTACGTTTATTCATGTTATATATCAGATTAAAGATATTCATGGGTAAAATTTAAGACCCGTAAAACGAATGTCATTGTTTTTGTGTCGTATTTGTGTTCAAAAGAAAATTCATTCACCCGACTCTAATCAAAAATATGATTAAAACAAAATATTTCAAAAGGTAAAAGCCATAAACTTTGCAGAGATTTTACTAGAATGTTAAAGATAGTAACAAAATAAAGGAATACGGGCAGTTATGTGTGTGAACGCCCAAACTCAATACCAAGCCGGGATTACACAAAACTTGAATTGTTGTAAAAGTACCGCAAACCGTGACATCTTGTACCCTTTATACGAAATGATCTCTCCCGAAGAGTGACGTAATCGGCTTCCATTTTGGTATTTCTCCATGTCAAAAGTTTGTGGGAATTCAATTTTTTCAAGAGAGAACTTTTTTATTCGTTGGGATATTAAATTGTGCAATGGATTTTAATTAACGGGAGTTGATTTCAAACACACAGGTAAGTTTATAATAACCAAAGTTAAGTTAAATAGTTTGATCATGATTGAAGAAATCTGTTTAAAATTTACGATGGTTCAGACAGTAGTAGTAGTATAACTATCGCCTAATATAATTTAGTTCAGCTCTGAACGTAGATCTCATTATACGTTCAGGAACTGTCCTATTGAATCATTGTCGAAAAAGAATCGTCTCCCAGTCAATGTTGCTGGGCAACATTTTACTGCTGAACGGTCTTGTGACGTATCAGTCTCTGTAAACACCTGAAAAATGTAAAGGAACATTTTAGTGAGGAAATAAGACCTTGCTTACCTTGCTAGAGTCAGTATGTGCAACACAACATGCTGTTAAAAATACGTCCCCTCCTGCTAAACGGCTTGACAGAAGCCATTAAAATCTAAATATAGGGTAATGCCATATATGACAAAACGAAATTTAGGTAAGCTGGGGAAAAAAAATGAGCTGAACTAAACATAACTCAAAATATTCACATCTAAATTGATGAAGTGTCATTTTTATCCAACTTGAAAACGCCATATACATGTAAGTCCATTGTACACGCCTCTTTTCAATCGGAAAACCTCGACATCTGGTACCCTACATCTAACCTCGGCTGTATGACGGTAAGTGATATCATGGACCGTAAATAATCTAACTAATTGTAGTTAGATGTGGCGGAAATTTTATAAATAACAATAATCAATCGTTATTTTGCTCAAAAATGTTGTCAATTGCACTTAATGAAGCCCGATGTATTTCACGTCAGGGTTTGTCAGGTAAAACTATATAGTACCATACCTTATCTTGAAACACAGAGGGTTGACAGATGAGGTTTCTTATCCAGCCCAACCCGAGCTATTAAAAACGCCCCCATTTTCATGTGGATGCATATTGTCGTCGTCCCTGTCTGTCCTTCCACAATTTGTTTGTGGACACTCTACAGGTCACAATTTTTATTTGATTTTGACGAAACTTCAAATATAGGTCTATCTCCCAAAGATCTCGGTTCCTTTTCGATCTTGGCATATATCGGACCATAACTTCATGCCATTCATGAACTAAGGCCCCTGATTGTATGAAAAATCACGTTTTTAGCTTGTGGACACTCTAGAGGTCACAATTTTCATCTGATTTTTATGAAACTTGAAATACATGTTTATAACCCAATGATCTCGCTTCCTTTTGATATTCACGCATATCAGATCATAACTTCTTGAATTATGGCCCTTGATTGTACGAAAAATCTCATTTTTAGCTTGTGGTCCCTCTAGAGGTAACAATCTTTATCCGATTTAAAAAAAACATTTGAATATATCACCATGACACCCTAATGCTGGTTGAGTTCGAATTTCATGAAAATCGGACCAAAACTGCTGGACAAAATTGGCTTCCCCTTGTAAGTAGATAGTGTAAATATATGGTATATCAAGGTTGTGGACCCTTAAGAGGCCGTAATTTTGATCCGATTTTGATGAAACTTGAAATACATGTTTATAATTTAATTTAAAGATCTTGGTTCCTTTTGATATTCGTGCACATCAGATCGTAACTTCTCAAGTTATTGCCCTTGATTGTACGAAAAATTGCTTAGCTTGATCTCGATCTATCTCTTGCAAAATGTGGGCGTATCTTGCCTGGCAGCCGCAAGTTTTTATAGAAATGGTTTCACTACTACTGATGTCTTCCGTCTTGCTCCAGCCACAGTAGTGGATCGTTCTAAGGACTTCCTTTGAGCAAGGTTTTTAGTTATTTGACTACAAAAAAGTCTCTGGCCTATAACTTCCTTAATTTCCAATTAAACTGACACCAAACTGTTCTGCACATAGCTTAACATATAATAAACTAATTCCCAGTGTGGTGAAACTTACACATATATTCATAAGTTTAATAAAATCCAACAGCTACGCGATATTTCTGTTGTTTTTTAAAATGGACGCCCAACCAGAACATGCACGGGATTTCACATCACATCAAAAATATCGAAACACCGTTTGGTCAGATAAGATTAAGATTTCAGTGTTCCACTCTTCACTTTTTGTAACATATAATTACTTATTTCCATGCAAACTGTGATGATATGAGTTGAAAATTTTGCTATTGAAGCTATTTTTATTTGCGCAAAGCCTCGTAGAGTGTATCAATTGTACCACCGCTACAAATATTGCAGCTAGGTTTTTTTGAATGTTGCCAAAATTGATTTTGGTCAAAACAGCACTATTTTGGTCGTAACAGCCAAACATTTTGGTTATAGCGGCCAAAAGATTAAGTCATAACAGCCAAACATTAATAATTTAATGAAAAACAATATATTTTACCAAATATTACTTACCTTTGATAAAAATAACCACCATTCAACAAAAATAACAATCCACCCATAACATAATCATCTGAACATTTTTTTTCAACTAATCATCCTATCCAATTAAAATGCCCTTTGATAATCTATTGGAAGATGACTAGTTGACTACATAGGATTAGTGGTGATTAACTAGTAACAAATCCCTAATTAGTTACTGCATGGGGGGTTGGATGGCCGAATGGTTAGCTCATGCGCACTGTATCATAATTTCTGTCATTGAGTCAACTAGCTTGGTTTCGATTCCCCCAGTTGTACGTGACAAGGAAATAACTGGCTCATTAATAAGAATTAAACCTCTCCAAAGAAAATAAAAACTAAAGATATTGCGAGGAGATTTTAACAGTCATCACTCCACTTAGGACTCCCCCTTTAATAATAATGCTGGAGATAAACACACATATTTATATTATGCTATTATTTATGTTAATAAAAATCATTTGACACATAGAGATAGATCTAATGTAACAAATGTATTTTTGGGGTTTTTTTGCCATGGCATTATGGCTGTTAGGGTTAGATTTTTTGACCGTTATGGTTTAGGGCTGTTATGTCCATAACCCATTTTTTAGTGCTTGGGCTGTCAGTCTACCACTGCTACTAGGCCTAGAACCAGTACCAATTACCAAAGTGCATATAGGCAACATCCAGTAGGCTAAGCTGGATCTAAAACTGATTTTCAGTAATTAGTAATTTTTGACATTAAACCCCATTTCTCTCTTTCAGTAATGTTTTAATTTCATTTGAAATGGGATATTGTGTTATTTGAATATTTTGAAATATTGGACTACATTTTAATATTACTGGTATTCACTACAGCCACTACAGGTCATCAGTAAACCTATTTCCAGAACACTAATCCGCATTTTGACCATTATAAAAAGAAATATGCACATTGTTAATACCATGCCTTTACTATAGTTTGCTGCACTGTAAGACAAATTGTCTGTATTTGGCCAGAAAAGTCTGTTTAGAGTTAAAGGAGCTAAATCACTAACATTTGGGACCTAGAAATTGACAAAAGTGGGTCGCAACGCATATAATACTGTAATATGAATGTATATAAACTGATTTACATTCAGTGGTTTCCGTTTTTACTCCAATTTCAAATCAGTTATGTTCGGCGAAATAATCAAGCAGTCTCAAGTGAGTGCAAATTTCTAGCGTCTGGTTATTCCAGTCTACATACGCCGTTTGATTTGGTGCAATGTGTCTCGCCTCGTTCCTCGAGTCTCTTGATACAACTGGGACTGAAGCGCATTATGGTACATGATTCGTGTACCAATGGTAAAATGTTTATTTTATCTTAAATATTGGATATCAAATGCCCATCTTTTTCTGGTAAGATCACAACATGAATGTTGATTTAATTTGACAAATAATTCGTGTTTTCAATGTTGAAGATTTTGGATGATATTGAGTTAGAGACTTAGCTACTTTAAGACACTCTGATGTTACAACAAATCATTAACGGTACCATGTCATGTAAGTAGCATACCATGCATGATGGCGTAGTCACAGTTAGCACCTAGTCATATACAAATTGCAATGCATTCTTTTCTACAAAATATTTACATGTTTCGAACCTTTGGTATTGTTTTCGTAAGAGTTTTTTTTATTTGCCGATTTTAGTCAGAAGTTACAGCCAAAACTGTGCATGGTGCAAACATTCTGCCAGCGTAGGCAAAGTTGGCCACTGTGCAACTAAATGTTAAATATAGATTGGGTCATTTTTATACGTCCACATGAAAATGTCGCCCCTGTCCGTCCATCCGTCTGTCCGTCCACATTTATTTGTGAACAGTCTACAGGTCACAATTTTTATCCGATTTCAATGAAACTTGAAATATAGGTTTATCACCCTAAGATCTCGGTTCCTGTCGATATTGGCATGTATCGGACTGTAACTGCATGGATTATGGCCCCTGATTGTACGAAAAATCATGTTTTTAGCTTGTGAACACTGTAGAGGTCACAATTTTATCCGATTTGGTTTAAACTTGAAATGTATGCTTATAACCCAAAGATCTTCCTGAATTTATGGCCCCTGATTGTACGAAAAATCATGTTTTAGCTTGTGGACCCTTAAGAGGTCATAATTTTTATACGATTTAAAAAAACGTATTATTATATCACCGTTACACCCTAAGGACGGCTGAGGTCTAATTTCGTGAAAATCGTCCCAAAATTGACTGACAAAATGGCCGCCGTTCGTTCTCAAATAGCGTAAAAATACGGTATATCAAGGTTGTGGACCCTATAGAGATCACAATTTTTATCCGATTTTGTTGAAACTTGAAATGTTAGATTATAACCCAAACATCTCGGTTCCTTTCGATATTCGCGCATATCGGACCGTATAACTTCCTGAATTATGGTCCCTGATTTTACGAAAAATCGCGTTTTTAGCTTGTGGACCCAATAGAGGTCATAATTTTTATCCGATTTATAAAACGTATTATTATATCACCGTTACACCCCAAGGACAGCTGAGTTCGAATTTCGTGAAAATTAGCCCAAAACTGACAGACAAAATGGCTGCCGTTCCTTCTCAAATAGCATAAAAATATGGGATATCAAGGTTGTGGACCCTATAGAGGTCACAATTTTAATCCTATTTTGATGAAACTTGAAATGTAAGTTTATTACCCAAAGATCTCGGTTCCTTTCGATATTCACGCATTTCGAAACGTAACTTCCTGAATTATGGCTCCTGATTGTACGAAAAATCGCGATTTTAGCTTGTGGACCCTGTAGAGGTCATAATTTTTATCCAATTTAAAAAAACGTATTATTATATCACCGTTACACCCTAAGGACGGCTGATTTCGAATTTCATGAAAATCGGCCCAAAACTGACAGACAAAATGGCCGCCCCTCATTCTCAAATACCGTAAAAATGTGGTAATTCAAGGTTGTGGACCCTATAGCGCTTACAATTTTTATCCGATTTTGTTGAAACTTGAAATGTGAGTTTATAACCCAAAGATCTCAGTTCCTTTCGATATTTGCGCATATCAAATTGTAATTTCCTGAATTATGGCCCTTGATTGTAGGAAAAATCACTTTCTTTTTAGCTTGTTTCTATCCATCTCTCGAAAATGTGGGCGTATCCTGCCTGGCAGCTGCTGGTTGACAAACAGGTTGTGTTTTATGGATGGGACAAAAAATAATCTCAGATTCCCCATATCCGGTTATTTGTCAACAAATTTTTGTCGGGTTCTGTAGTTGATGGTTTTTCAAAATTCGGAAGTTCGCTCGATTAGTTTTGACATTCAAGATGGCGTATCCATGTCACTATTTGAGGTATCAAGTTGAAACTTGGTAGGAATGAGGAACATATGGATGCCTTCAAAATGGCATATTAAAAAAATTTTGTGACAGCTTCGGAAATTTACGAGTCCTTCCAATTTTTCCCAAACAAGAACAGTTCTCTCCATTTTAAAAATAGACAAAAAATGACATGGTATTGTTAGCCTCAGATATTATCTTTCCTTTTCACAACCTTTTTCGATAACATTTTCAACCGCTTGGCTGCCATATTGGATTTTACAAAAACATTCAAATCGATATTCAGCCACCATTTTAATTCCAATTTTCAAAAACTATTTTATACAACCACATTCTCATGTGGACGTATATATTGTCGTCACCCCTGTCCGTCTGGACGTCTGTCCATCCACAATTGTTTGTGGACACTCTACAGGTCACAATTCTTATCTGATTTTGACGAAACTTGAAAGATAGATTTATCTCCAAAAGGTCGCGGTTGCTTTCGATATTGGCATGTATCAGATCGAAACATCATGGATTATGGCCCCTGATTGTACGAAAAATCACATTTTTAGCTTGTGGACACTCTAGAGGTGACAATTTTCATCTAATTTTGGTGAAACTAGAAATGCATGTTTATAATAACCCAAAGATCTTGGTTCCATTCGATATTTGCGCATATCGGATCATAACTTCCTGAATTATGGCCCCTGATTGTCCGAAAAATCACATTTTTAGCTTGTGGTCCCTCTAGAGGTCACAATTATTATCTGATTTAAAAAAACGTTTAAATATATAACCATTCCACCATAATGAAGGTTGAATTCAAATTTCGGGAAAATTGAAATGAAACTACCCAACAAAATGGCCGCTCTTTGTATGCAAATTGTGTAAAAGTATGTACCGATAATACGAAGGTTGTGGTCACAATTTTTATCCGATTTTGATGAAACTTGAAATGTATGTTGATAACCCAAACATCTCGGTTCCTTTCAATAATCCGCGCATACCGGACCCTCTTTTCCTGGATTATGGCCCCTGATTGTACAAAAAATCACATTATTTTTTTAGCTCGTTCTCTGCCCATTTCTTGCAAAATGTGGGCGTATCTTGTTTTGTATTGAACCTACTCCAAATGGCAATAATTCTTAGGGAGCCGATTTTTTAATTCCGATTTTGTTTACTTCCGGTTTCACTTTGAATTTTGTTCGACTTTTCACTTTCTAGATTGTGACCTATCAGACCTAACCTTTCAATGACCCTTGACCTTTGTATGTATGATGACCCTGGTGTCTACTAACAATTAATATAAAAAAGTTTGGTCCTGAAGTATAACTTCCAGTTTTATTAAGAGTTCAAAATTCCACTTTAATAGGTATTGGATGTTAATATACTCAATAATTTATGGCGTAACTTGATTGTTGATGTAACAAGGTGTGACCTGACGTGACGTGACATACCGAAACACGTCAGTACTCCTTTGGAGTTCTAGTTTTATTTAAAATTAAAACAAAGCAATCATTGTATAAATTATCTATATTAGGACACACCAATTTGATCTTTAAATTTCGTTTGTGGTATTACCAGACATATTATTTAGAAATAGAATATATAATATACCTCACTCTATTCTCAGACAACTCCTACAACTCAAATTGGTGTGGAATCATTACTTGCCACTCGGTACCAATGAAAGCGAGAGAGAGAGAGAGAGAGAAATGGGGTTTAACGTCCACTCGACACAAACTAGGTCATTTCGGGACTAACACAGCCAATACTGCCTTTGACGTCATAAAAACTGTTATGATTGGCTATTAATGCTTAGCCTTAATTTAAGACTGTTCGCATGCTAAATATATGGTATGTTATTCATCCCCAAATGGTTTAACTGTTGTTTACAAATTTTATACTATAATTATGGCATCTCATGAAAGTCTTGTAGTAATACATGTGTGCCATAGGCAAAGGACTCCCAACATCAGTGTTATAGTGAAGGCCTATTGTATTATTGTTTCAAATGTTTATATTACAGAGTTATTGTTAATAAAATGATATTGCTACAACTATAATCAAGATGAGTGTTTGGAAACGTTTACAACGTGTAGGAAAATCAGCGTCAAAGTTTCAATTTACTGCTTCTTTAACTGATCTTGAAGTAGAAGTTACTAAAAAATGGTAATTATTTTATTCAACAATAAACTTATTTATAATTTAATAAGTGAACTTATTGATTATTTATCAGCTTAAAATTGATGTAAACTGATAAAATAATTTGGCGGTATATATGTTTCTTTTCCATATTAAATTTTATATATATCAACTGTTAGATGTTAGTGTTATCTTTGTATTATACACACCGGGCCCACATGGAAGTGTGGTCGTATGTTGCCGTCACCCCCGCCTTGTGAAAACTCAATAGACATTTATCATCTGATGGTGTTAAAATTTATAGGTTGTTAACATATGTATATACATTTTTTAGTCAGCTGAGACGTAGATTCCTATTGAATTTCAACAATTACTTTAATTACTTCTAAAGTTATGTCCTGTGTTTCACTTTGTAGTGAAACTTATGTGCTTTATTTAAATTAATAAAACAAAGAAGCCTATTGAATTTTAGTAATGCTATTATATTATACTGTCTAAAAAAATTTCCTTGTGGAATGCTCAGTTGACTTCACATGGTCCTCCTGCACTTACTATTAGACTATTAGCTGCCATGGGCGTATGTTTTGTTTCCTGGCAACCTATCTTTAGAATTGTTATTCCTTATGTTCATGTATTTTATAATATTTTCCAGGCAACCAAATAAGATTGGTGTTGTGTGGACTAGACGTAATCGTAGGAAGTCATCACAGGTAAATTTCACTGTTCTATGGATGAATGCACTTACTGGGTATAAATGATTGAAAAGTATATGAAATAATGTTGGAAAGAATGTAATTTAATACATTGTTTTGACTTGGGCATATGCATTTCTTCGTATACAATATTTCAAGCTAGTCTAAGGGCAGCAACTCTGTTGAAACTTAATGCCTATGGTTCAGGGATTAGGACTAGGAATTGACATATTCACATTATCAAGTATGATATAAAAAGTACCACGGGTACACATGGCATAATCTCTTCTCACTGGTTAAAATAAAGCTGTTTATCTAAAACTTCTACTTTCAAGATAATAAGCTTATACAATTATTTTTGGATATGAATGACTTAATGTTGTTACTTTCTACCAATAGGTATTAACATGGCAACCCTCTATGAAGAATCCATATTGTGGACATGTCAGTTGGACTGTTCCAGAAAACCTGGAGATTATGGTCACTTTATTTCGTGATTCTCGACAAGCAGAATATGAAGATAAGGAGTGGACATTTGTTATTGAAGATGTAAGTCCCAAATTTCTCATTTCATAACACATATATATATATATATTTATGGTGGACAATAAATATAAAAGATAGTTCAAAGCCAGTCTTTAAAGAATAAGTTCAGCAAATCATATTAGGAAAAAAATCAAGCCTTCAAGATGATTTGTGTTTGAGCTTCTAAAGTAAAGGATACTGGTAGATAAGTTTAAGTTCTGTTTCCTTTCCGTATTATTTGCGACTGGCCACTAAATAAAGCTACTTTAGTCAATGCACACTGTAGTACTGTACTGTGTAAAACGGTTTAATAGATTTTATAATTTTAATTTTGACAGCAATCTAAAGGTCGTAGAAAGATTTTAGCCAGTAAGTCGATCAATATGAAGGATTATGCTACTCAGATACCATCACAGACCAATATTAAGATTCGCTTTAAACCAGCATCTAAGAAGGTTGTATCAGCTACTCTATGTTTAACATTGTCTTGTGTTTTTCTGAGGGAAGGTAAAGCTACGTAAGTATTCAAAAATAATGTTGTTATTGCTTTTTATACGCCCACATTTTCAAGTGGACGTATTATGCCGTCGCCCTTGTCCGTCTGTCCACAATTTGTTTCTGGACACTCTACAGGTCACAATTTTTATCCGATTTTGACGAAAATTGAAATATAGGTCTATCTCCCAAAAATCTTGGTTCCTTTCGATATTGGCATGTATCGGACCATAACTTCATGGATTATGGCCCCTTGATTGTACGAAGAATCACGTTTTTACCTTGTGGACACTCTAGAGGTCACAGTTTTCATCTGCTTTTGATGAAACTTGAAATACATGTTTATAACCCAAAAATCTTAGGTCCTTTTGATATTCGCGCATATATCAGATTGTAACTTCCTGAATTATGGCCCTGATTGTACAGTAAATCACGTTCTTAGCTTGTAGATCCTCTAGAGGTCACAATTTTTATCCAGTTTTAAATTTATCACCGTTATACCCTAATGACGGTTGAGTTCCAATTTCATGAAAATCAGACCAAAACTGCCTGACAAAATGGTGGCCCCTTGTACGCAAATACAGTAAACTTTGCATAAGTCGGATCTAAATGGACTGACCAATTTTATCCAATTTACGCGAAGATCCGAGTTAGCCGAAGACCTAGTTCAGCTCTGAACGTACGTCTCATTATCGCCCTGTATGTTCAATTTTACTGGGCAAACTTTTTACTGCTAAACGGTCTGTGAACGCCTGAACAATGTAAAGGAACATTTTAGTGAGAAAATAAGACCTTGCTTACCTCGCTAGAGGCAGTATGTGCAAGACAATTGTTAAAAATCTGCCCCCTTCTGCTAAACATTGAGGTCTAGATCAAATGGACCAAACGTTTTGATCCGAGTTAAGCAAAGATCCGACTTACGTGCAGAAATTTAATAAGAAAAACGTGCAGGATCAAAGGGTCCAAACAATTTTATCCGAGTTGAGCAAAGATCCGACTTATACGAATCCGACTTATTCGTAGTGTAAAAGTATGTTATACCAAAGTTGTGGACCCTCTAGAAGTCACAATTGTTATCAGATTTTGATGAAACTTAAAATATATGTTTATGTCCAAAAGATCTTGGTTCCTCTTGCTATTTGTGCCTGGATTATGGCCCCTGATTGTAGAAAAAATCATGTTTTTTTAGCTAGAGGTCACAATTTTTATCCTATTTTAAAAACCGTTTAAATTTATCACCATTTCACCATAATTAATGAAGGTTGAATTTGAATTTTGGGAAAATTGAAACGAAACTGCCCGACAAAATGCCCGCTCTTTGTACGCACATCGTGTATAAATTTGTAATACGAAGGTTACAATTTTTATCTGATTTTGATGAAACTTGAAATATATCTTTATGTCCGAAAGATCTGTCCCTTTCAATATTTGCGCATTTCAGACCATAACTTTCTGGATTATAGCCCCTGATTGTACGTTTTAGCTTGTTCTCTATCCATCACTTGCAAAATGTGGGCATAACTTGCCTGGCAACCGCTGGTTTAATTGAGCATCATTCTGTGACATCCATTCTGCTTCCCGTCACAAAGCTGGTGATGGGCTATATTTATGAATAGGAATTGAATAATATGCATCGTCTCACTTTTTTCCTCTTTGATTCATTTAGAACTTCTTTCATTTATTTTGAGCAGTGATGAAGATATGCAGAGTGTTGCTAGTTTAATGAGTATTGGTAAAGCTGATATTGGTAACCTGGATGATTTAGATGAAGATGATGAGGGCAAAGAAGATTTATCCTTTAAAATAAAAGACTTGACGTCCCAGATTGATCAACTAGAAAGTAACCATGGTAACCCTTTTAATGATGACAGCATGGAGTATGATGACTGTTTAAATCCTTTTGGTGTGTTGTTTCTTGTTTCATTTTATCCTTCTTTACTTTTGGTTGTGATTAAATTCAGATTAGATATGATGTGTTTAATATCAAATACAATGATACCAAAATTACAAAGAATTTTTTAGGATCTCAAAAGTGTTTATGTAGCACAAAAGTTTGAAAAATTAATAATAATGTATTTTGAAAACTGTGTTTAAAAAAAACCACATACCCAGCTGGAAATAGTGTATTGAGTTAAAAAAGACCCCAAAAAACACAGAGCAAAGTATGCATCTCACTGTACTTCAGTATCATTAACATTAAGAATACTACCACAATAACACTAGAAATGGAAGCATTAGGTAGCACTACTCACTGGAAATATGGTATCGTTTAGAACAGGGTTTTTGGCACTGGAAAGTATGCATATAGTTTACTTTCAAAACATTGTTCGATAATTGATAAAAATCGTTTAAGAATTACAAAAATGGTTTAGTTAGTACTATGGCTTAGTTTAATGGTAACAGGTTTAGTTTCTCCTAGAGGCGTTTATAAATGGACGACCCGTTCACTTATCTATGGCGTTTACTTGTTACACGAGCCGTTTACTTTCCCGAGATACGTTTATCCGATCGGTTCATTTTGATTACTATTTTTTACATATGAAGTACGAATAAAAAAATTGATTATAAAAAAATGCAAACCCATAGACGAGCCGTTTACTTTCCCGAGATACATTGAAAAATCAACACACGGTTTACTTATCTACGACCTTTACTTATTAGACGAGCTGTTTACTTTCCCGAGATACGTTGAAAAATCAACACACAGTTAATTTATCTACGGCGTTCAACTATTAGATGAACCTTTAAATTTCCCACGAGCCGTTTATCCGATAGGTTCATTTTGATTACGATCATTTCCCGAGATACGTTGAAAAATCAACACACAGTTAATTTATCTACGGCGTTGAACTATTAGATGAACCTTCAAATTTGCCGCAAGCCGTTTATCCAATCGGTTCATTTTGATTACGATTATTTACATATGAAGTACGAATAAAAAAAGTGAATATAAAAAAATGCACACCCATAGATGATCACCTTACTGTGGTCAGAGTAGTATTTATTATCCATTATCCTATAAAATTAGTATTCCACCATTGACAAATACATCAAAAATCGGTAAATCATGTCCCAGGTAATTATACAATTGGAAATCGGTAAATCACATACTAGGTAATGTATCTTTTTTAAATCAAAACTGAATTAACTAGTCTTCCATCTGTACACGTGGTCATTAATCAAGCTCATAATGGCAGTGCGATAATCTCGCAAGACTGTACATTAAACTGGCGCCAAAAAATGTCACTGTCAATCTCTATTGATAAGCTGTCGCCCATTTTCAGACAGCGTAATCACTTGATTCGGGGGACCCTGCGCAATTTAGTTGATTATTGGGTAATAACTTAGAGTCCATGATGTATTTTGGCGAGTGATTAAGCTGTCAATATGTAATTATAAAATACCTTTTTATACGTCTGTCTGTCAGTCCACAATTTGTTTGTGTACACTCTACAGGTTACAATTCTTATCCGGTTTATCTCCAAAAGATCTCGGTTCCTTTCGATATTGGCATGTATCAGATCGATACTTCATGGATTATGACCCCTGATTGTACAAAAAATCACGTTTTTAGCTTGTGGACACTCTAGAGGTCACAATTTTTATACGCCCACATTGAAATGTGGTCCTATATTGTTGTCGCCCCCGTCCGTCCAGCGTCCACAATTGCTTGTTGCCGCTCTATAGGCTAAAGTTAATATCCGAGTGTTCAAGGTCATGAGACGAAGAAGCCTATTGATTTTCAGCGATTTTCAATAATTACTGCCAGAGTTATGGGCCTTGATCACTTCAAAAAATCTTGTGGGCGCTCTAGAGGCTAAAGTTAATATCCGATTGACTTTAAATTTATACACAGTGTTTAAGGTCATGAGACGAAGAATCCTATTGATTTTCGATAATTACTGCCAGAGTTATGGGCCTTGATCACTTAAAAAAATCTTGTGGGCGCTCTAGAGGCTAAAGTTAATATCCGATTGACTTAAAATTTATACACAGTGTTTAAGGTCATGCGACAAAGAAGCGTAATGATTTTCAGCAATTTCCGATAATTACTGCCAGAGTTATGGCCCTTGATCACTTCAAAAATTCTTGTGGACGCTCTAGAGGCTAAAGTTAATATACGATTGACTTTAGATTGATACACATAGTTTAAGATCTTGAGACGAACAAGTATATTGATTTTCAATGAATTTTGATAATTTGAACAGCTAAATCCATGATATTAAATGTTTTGTATACTAAACGTTAGCATGGGGCAGAACTTTATAAAAGCTAAACAAATTCTAATGATTTTCTGATAATTACTTAATGAGTTGTTACTGTTAATCAGATTTTAGTGCATTATAAATGTTTCATTACCGAAAAAAGTAAAAATATGCGACAACTCTTGTTGACTGCCCGGACAATTTAGCTGAGCAGTGCTGTGGGCGTATGTTTCGTTGCCTGGCAATCTATCATTGTAATTCTTAAACGATTTTTATCAATTATCGAACGATGTTTTGAAAGTAAACTATATACATACTTTCCAGCGCCAAAAACCCTGTTCTAAACTATACCATATCTCCAGTGACTTGTTCATTTACTTTACCAGTAAGTGATAACTTGAAAGAACAAAAACTTTATCAAACCAATTGCTGTTTATGGTTGTATTTTCTTTTTAAAAAAAAACAACTTTCCTCGACATGATTATCATAGGTTAAATGTTCACTATATAGCCCTATCTTATTCAGGGTTCCCGCGGTCCTTGAAAATCCTTGAATATCCTCAAATTTAAAATTTCATTTTCAAGGTCTTGAATTTCGCGGAAATAGGAAAATATCCTTGAATTTCAGTTGAGATCCTTAATTTTGTTTCAAATTGGTAATAATAGTAAGTTGATATGAAAATCCTGTTTAGATTAGAAGTTATGCTAGTTATACTAAACAATAACTCTGACGTATACCTGTCAATCAACTGATCTAAATAAACAGCTGTGTTTTGTCACGTAATAACAAGATAAGCCAATGACATTTACCGTTAGGCAACCAAATACTCTCACGTGACCCCATTGTCCAATTAACATACTAGAAGCCACTACACTGACTAATCAAAATCGGTATTAGTAATTACATTAAACTATGCATAATAACGAAGGCAAGCCTGCATGACATTGAAAATAAAACATGTCTTGCAAATTTCAAACTTCGTGGCTTGATAGCTATAACTGGCTAAGTCGCGATGAAACAAACATTCATCAAGCGAAATGCTGCATATGCAAGAAGAGTTTCAGTATCAAGAAAATGGGTATATCTGCTGTACGTTCACACGAAAAGAGTGAAAAACACATCAAATTAACGAAAGCGGGTACAATTGGCCAGACACAAATATCTGTCACTGGCAATGCCGTTTTAACTGCTGAAATTTTATGGGCAGTAAAATGTATTACGTCACATTATAGTTATAACAGTTGCACGGATATAGACAAATTTTTTCAACGTGCATTTCCAGACAGCCTAATTGCCCAGAAATTTACACGTGGCGAAAATAAAATTACCTATCTCGTTTGCTTTGGTATTGGTCCCTACATACAAGACAAATTAAAAACATTGATACGCGGTGTCGAAAATTACGTCATTATGTTTGATGAATCACATAATGAAAGTTTACAGAAAAAGCAGGTTGATGTTCATGTTCGCTTGTGGGATAATGGATCAAATTGCGTGGTTTCTCATTATTTAACATCCGAATTTATTGGACATGGCAAAGCTGAAGATCTTCTTCCCGTTTTAATAAAATGTGTCGACGATATCGGGCTTAACAAAAGTAATCTTTTACAACTTTCTATGGATGGTCCAACTGTTAATTGGAAACTTTTTAGATTACTTAATTCGAATTTCGGAGACTATATGATTAACATAGGTAGCTGTGGGTTGCATACAGTGCACAATGCTTTTAAAAATTTGGTTGAAAAGTCAGGATTGGGAGTTGGCGATTTTCTCAAATCACTGTACTGGATATTTAAAGATACGCCTGCACGAAGGTCTGACTATACAACTTTACCTGATTCAACAGTCTTTACACTTAAATTCTGTGGTCATCGGTGGCTTGAAAACAAGCCTGTGGTAACCCGGGCAATTGAAATTTGGCCAAGTGTTGTAAAATATATAAAAGATAAAACCACACAATCATATAAAAGTAAATCATTTGAAGTTGTGCGCAATGGTATTAATAACGATAAACTTATGTTTGTTAAATTAGCCTTTTTCCTGACTGTAATAAGCCTAATGACCCCGTTCTTGCAAATATTTCAGAGTCAACGACCCTTAGTACCACTTTTGTGCACTCGCATAAAATCAATGATTAAACAGTTGATGAAGCGTTTTGTAAAATCGTCCGTACTAAAAACCGTACAAATATCAGTTAATAACTTAGTACCACTTTTGTGCACTCGCATAAAATCAATGATTAAACAGTTGATGAAGCGTTTTGTAAAATCGTCCGTACTAAAAACCGTACAAATATCAGTAATTTACTTAAAATTGATGTTGAACAAGTAGATAATCATATCATATATAAAGACATTGATCTCGGGTTTAAGGCTGAGGGAGAACTACGGAAACTAATTAGTGGGAAAGTTGTATCCGAAAGGGACGTTTTGGACTGTAGAATCCAGAGCAAGAATATGTTAATACATATAGTTAAACATTTAATGACAAAATCACCTATTACATATGCCATGGCCAGAAATCTAGGGTGTCTGCATCCTAAACGGATAGCGAATCTTCCTGATATAGCAAAGACACAATTTAAACACATCCTTGAAATATTAATAACAGCCAAAAAATTAGATGAGGCGACAAGTGATTTGATAAAGTCTGAATATGATGATTTTATTAACTATGTGTCTAATTTGTCTCCATTGGA